AAGTCAAAAATGAATATCCCCTCCCATTCAAAAAAGCTGTGCATGCCACTGCTACTTATTGTAGTATATTATAATATTTGTCATATTAAATGGAGAAGTAGTTTAATATCACTAATTAAAAATACAATATCTTTTAATTAAACTTTTATTTTTATAAATCTAGAAAAAAAAGTTTTCTTTATGTAAAAATTATTTTAATTTGTATTATTTCAGTTTATTTTATTTTATATTCAGTGCACTTTATACAACTGACAAGGATTTTCAAATCAAAACCTGTTGTATTATTTTGCTTTTAATTTAATAATACTCAAGGCAATATTTATATTTTATTATATTTTTTATACACTTTTGTATACTTTGTGGCAACGTGCAGATAGAACTTGACTGATTTTGACCGGTAGTGAGAACTGTACATCATAATACTTGACCGTGACTGGACCGAACTAAGACCACTTGTAAAATTCGAGCTTAAGAGGTCTTCATTTTTTTTTTTTTTTTTTATTTAAACTTTGTGGGTACAATTAGTTTCAACAATTACAAATTACAAAATACAATTACAGTTTACAGTTACAATTACCGTAGAAACAGTACAGTATAAGATTAGATTAAAAGCCTGAGTGGTTAAAGAAAGATATTATATTTATTATGATGTTTTTTTGTTGTTTGAAAGTATACCTATAAGGTCGAAAGTGATGTTGGAGGTATTCAAAATAGATAATAGGTGGTCACGATGTGTTGATAAGCTGGGACAGATGAAGAGTAGATGGTTAATATCACAGACCATAGGGTCATTGTGTAGTGTACAGAGAGGAAAATCGTTCAATGACAGTTTAAAGGAATGAGAAGGAAGTCGTGTATGACCAAACCGGAGGCGACCAAACCATGGTAGTGTTGGAATGGTTGGAGATATCTTTCTGTACCAGGTGGCGAAGTAAAGGGGGAGTGAGACCCAGTATCTAAGCCAAAGATTAGAAGTACAAGACCTAAGGATGGGGATAAAATCAGACCATGGAATTTTCGTACTTGGAGGGCATCTGAGGGAAGCAGAAGATTTAGCTAGCTTGTCAACGAATTCGTTTCACGCAATTCCAGTATGGCCTGGTACCCATATAAATTGAATGTCCGAGCCAGATTCTGTAAAGGAAAATAAAAAATGTCTGATAGTGATTATGAGAGGAGAGAGATGTGATTTAAAAACGTTAGAGGAGAGGGCTTGAAGACAGGACAGAGAGTCAGTGGCGATGAGATATTTGTTTGAAGGTAAGGATGAAATTGTGTTGAGTGCTTCAATAATAGCGAAACATTCAACTGTGAAAGAAGATGCCGTGGGAGGTAGATTGTTAGAGAAGGAAATGTGGAACTCCGGGATGTAAAAAGAATATCCAGCTGATAGGGGAGAGACAGAACCGTCTGTGAAAATTAGGATGAAGAGCGGGAAGGTGTTATGAATGAAATCGAGAAAGATATTGTTCACATAATTGGGTGGTGCGGAAATCAGAAAGGTTCGCGAGTGATTTAGAAAGTTTTTATTTTGATGAGTGATAGGGGAAAAAAGTAAGGATTGGAAATTAGTTTCATATAATGGAAATTTGTTAGTTTGGATAATATAATTGCATGTGTCTGTAAGAGAATGCGCTATTAAGGCGAGAACTGGAAGTGTCTTTTGGACATATCGCCAAGAGTAATAGACGTCAAGGAAGGTATTGAAGATATAGGGTTCTTTGTTTGCTAACTGTTTGAGTAAGAATTTGCTGGCAAGTCATTTGGTTCTTATATGGAGTGGTTGGCAAGATGTTTCGACTTCAATAGCGGGAGAAGGAGTGGATCTTAAGGCACCTATAATGGATCTAAGACAAGAGATTTGTAATCTATTAAGTTTATTAAGGTGAGCGAGGGCAGAAGATCCAGAAAAGAAACAACAGTAATCAAACTTGGCGCGTATGACGGATTGGTAAATACGTATTAAGGTAGAGGGGTGTGAACCCCACCATGTATTGGCCACGGATCTTAGAAAGTTAGACCAGCGGGTTGCAAATATAGTTAAGTCGTGAAGATGAGGAGACCATCGAAGCTTAGGGTACATATTTAGACCTAAGTATGTATGGTTTGGAGCGTAGGGGATTGTGTAACCATCTATTGTTGTGGCATCAAACTGATGGTAGTGTCGTCTGGAGAAAATTAAGGACTTGCATTTTTCGGGAGCTATTGAGAAGAAGGAAGAAGATAGAACATTGTGTAAAGAATATAATGCGTCGTTAAGGGAGGCGATTGCAAAGTTGATTTGTCTATTGTGGGAGTAAATAACTATATCATCAGCATACATAAGACAACTGTGACCAGGAGAAATAAGACGATTAGCAATAAAACACATGTAAATATTAAAAAGAATTGAGCTCAGACAGCTGCCTTGTGGAAGACCGGTTGAAGTCGTACGTGTATTGGTAGCACCGAAGGGGGAGAGAAAATGTAAAGTTCTATGAGAAAAAAGATGAAAGATATAATTGGTGAAGGAGAGTGGGAGATTTAGCGCATTTAAGTGGGAGATTAAAAGAGGGATATTCACGGTGTCAAAGGCGCCGCGAACATCAATAAAGGTGGCAACGAGGTACTCTTTATTATTGAATGACTGATAAATATCACCAATAAAGTTGGCAAGGCAGTCTGTGGTGCCCCTACCTCGTCTGAAAGCGTACAGATTATTGGGAAGAATTGAGTTAGACTCTAACCACCAATCAAGTCTATTTTTAAAAATATGTTCGACAACTTTACAAAGTGAAAAAGATAAAGTGATCGGGCGAAATTAATTATTCGAGTGAGCTTTTGGAATGAGGATTACCTTTGTATTCGGTCCAGGATAAGGGGATTAGGTTAAAAACGATTAAATTATTGAGTATTTTGAGTAAAAGTTCTAATGCGTTAGTGGGTAGGTGTTTTAACATAAGAGGGGATATACAGTCGATGCCCGAGGCAGCGGATTTTCGCGAAGAAATTTCAGTGTTAAGTTCATTGAGGGTTAGTGGTAAACTTAGACAGTGAGAAGAAGGTAAGTGTAAATAGTTGAAGGATTGGGGGCAATTTCAGATTCCGAGGGAACATAATAGGGTGCAACTTTAGTGCAAAAATCATTAAACCATACATCGTTATGTGGACGGGAGAGTGGGTGAATGCTATTCCGAAAACGTTTGGCAGTACTCCAAAGTGAAGTGATGGACGAGGAAGGTTTGAGATTGTTACAAAATATTTTCCAGGAATTCGATTTCTTTAATTTAAGTAAACGAGTTGTATGCGAACAAGAGTTACTATATCTGTAAAAGTCATGAATGGAACCAGAGCGGCGGTATGTTTGGAATAGCTTATTACGACTTTTAACAGATTGGGTGCATGTGGAGTCCCACCATGGAGGCGAGGGGGGATAGAGTTTGTTATTTTTGTGTTTACGCTGGATGGATTGTTTGGCAGAGTCTATAACTATTTGGGTAAATTGATTGTAAGCTTCGATTGGGCTCGGTGTGTTATCAAAATGCGTAATGTTGTGGTTAATTAAGTCGGAAAATAAATTCCAATCGGCTCTATTAAGATTGAATTCTTGGGGTTCAGATGGGAAAGTTACGTCATTTGGAGTGAGATTTCTAGGAATATTAGTGGTGGTGTTTGTAGATAGTGAGATTAATATAGGGAAGTGGTCACTACCATGTGGCTCAGACAGGGTCGACCAGGACGAGGACCACATTATGTTAGGAGAACAGAAAGAAATGTCTATAGAAGAATTGGGGCAGTTGGGCCTACCTAAGTGGGTGGCAGTACCGGTGTTAAGAATATTAAGACCTAAGGAATTGATGGTATTGTAGATCATGTTCCCGCGTCTAGAAGCGAAGGATGAACCCCACGCGGGATTGTGGGCGTTAAAATCGCCTACGATGAAACAGTTGTTGCTGGTTAGTTGGAATAAGGATTCCCACAATGTTAAGGGTATATTGGAATCATTGGGGATGTAGCATGACCAGAAAGAGATGATGGGGAGATTTTTAAGGTTCAAAACTTCGATACCAATAATATCTATTTTATGATTATGAAAAGATTGTTTGACATTTCGCAGACATTTAAGGAGACATGTGTTGCAATTGCAGAGCCACCATAACCGTCAGGACGTCGGATCTAAAAAGATTGAAGTGTAGAATTTGAAAATTCCTGGTAGGAAGAAGCCAGGTCTCGGATAATAATGCTATGGAGCATTTTGAGTCAGATAAGAGATTCTGAATAGAGGGAGATCGAGCTGGGAGACTGCGGACATTCCATTGTAAAAAATTGATTAAGTCCATAGGTTTAATTTTGGAATTGGAATTTGGTTGTAAAAATCTACGAAAGGAAATGGAATGAGTTGACACTGAGATTAGTTAGGGTAGAGATATAGTAGGGAAATCGGGTATTGCTTAAAGAGCGAGAAGAGAAGATTCGATTAAATTTTGAAGAGAGCTAGGTGTTTGAGAATTAAGAAGAGCATTAATTAATGATTGTGTTAAATTGGTTGAAAGGGTATTTATCCATGTGAGGTCATTATTTTGGTTTGGAAGTTTTTTAACCGAGTGGCTTTTATGGACATATTCCAAAAATGAGCCATTGGGAAGGGAAAAGTTCTTTTGGGTAGGAAGTTTAAAATGTTGATTATGTTAAGAACAGGATGATTAGTAATAATATGTTGTAAATTCGGTGAGAATTGATCGTTGAGCGTGCTTGAAGAGTTTCGAGTTTGAGGAATTATGGTTCTTTTTGTATGTGACATTCTTGAAATTAGAGTCAGCGTGATGAGAAGAAGCAAGAGTAGATTTGATTTTATTCTGCCCAGGTTTTTGCCCGAGAAGGCGGTCGTTGCCGCTAGCCGGCAACGGCATAATTAAAATACTTTAATAGAATACGATAAAAGAACGTGACTTTAATGCGGTTAACTAGCGATAAAACGACCGTTAACGACAAGAGATAGGTCACGATTGAGGTCTTCATTAGTATCACACATTTTTTTAACGATTTTGAGTAAATAATAGTTAATAATAGTAATAGTAAATAATAATGACTGGGGATTCCCAGCTATAGGTAGAACACATTACATTGGTAGACCGCATATTGGAAGATAGCCTATAAAATATTACCTGAAACCATAGCCATGTTATTTGTTGAATTTACAATAGAATTTAAAGTTCATAAAATTCTTCTTCTTCTTCTTCTTTGTCTGGCCATTCTACTCCCTAAGAGTTTTAGCCGTCACTACAATATCCTGCCACTTTTATTTGATCTCTTGTCCGAGGCTTCGATATTTGTGATATCATAAAATTAGTTTTAATTAGGTAGGGTTGTTAGTCTTACACTTAACCCCTAACCTGGAGGACCAGACCTCCCCAGTCAACTAAGGCCAGGGAGGTTGCTATTGCAGCAACTAGTCCTGAGCGATGGGAGCGCCACTTTCCTTACGCCAGACTTAATTTATCACACGAAAAAATAAGATTAGAAGAGAAAGAAACTTATGTGATGTAAAAAAAAATAAACATATATTTTTTGTTTTATTTTCAGTGTTGTAACTAAACATAGAGGTTACTTAATGCAAACACTACTAGATAAAGAAGTATATGAATGGTTGTATGCTATAAATCCTCTTTTGGCTGGTCAGATTCGGTATGTTGTTATAAAATAATATGACTACTTAAGTACATATTATTCATTTGAAATGTTTATAGGTCAAAAACTTCACGGCAAATAATGCCCAACGGACAAAATCAAAAACCTGCATTTGTGTCTAATCCAATTGACACACACCAATAAATATCAAAAATCTAATATACATACAATATCTATATGTTCATTTGTTTTTAAATGTCCTAAAACGTTCATTTTTGTCACATTATAGCACTATCGTTTATCGATATATACCATTTAGTAATGTGCCATTAAAATATTGGGCTTTAAGTATGTATACTGCCAAAACACTGATTGCTTTTTAAAAAATGTTTAATAAATTTTAATTTTAAGACAGCGGTTGTGAAATAATCGGTTTAATGTTTTAAATTTTAAAATAAATGATCTTTCTTGTTTGTTAATAGTTATACCGATACAAGCTATTATGTAAAAGCATAATTGATCAAATTATATTTTTCGTTTTTTTTTTCAATCATTATTGTGATATTTTATTTTGTGAAATTTGCTATATACATATTATTAAGTTTTGTTTGTAATTAATTCAATATATGATTAAATAATACTTTTGCTCTAGTCAAATATATATATATATATATATAATATTTAAATGCATTCTATTAAATTATTTATGAAATAAAGTTTAAATAAAATATTAGTCCAGGGTGACCAGACGTCCCGTTTAAAACGGAATTGTCCTTTTTTTGATCATCTCATCCCGTTGTCCCGACAAACTTCAAATGGGACGATTTTTATCCCGTTTTTAGAAGATTGTCCCATTTTAATCCTGTTATTGTCATATTATTTATTATATAAGTTATTATAATGCTTGTAAATAAAATATATATGTATGAAAAAAATATAAAACAATTTTACTCGTGTATTTAAAATGTGAAACCAAAGTTAGAAATAACAGATAAAAGTTTTCGTAAAAGTTTTCGTGGAACGAGCGTCAAGTTCCGATGCCGATAAACTATATTACCGATTTAATGATTTAATAATAATTAAAAGAAAATATTTTATTTTTTAGATTATTTTAATAAAAAGGGTAAAGTAAAAAGAAAATAATTATTTATAATATGACAGAGATTTGGACTTTAACTCTTGAGATTTGTGTGCATATGTGTAAATGTATATGTATGAGGTTTGTTATTTGGGCGGGGGGAAGCTAGCACATAGCTGAGGGAGGGCCGGGGTGCGCCTGGCCCACCCTAATATGTGTCCGGCCTTAGGTTATTCTAACTAAATTTAAACGATCAATTAGGAAATAATTGCTATTTGTAGTTAAATACCGGTACTATACTATAATGTCACGTTGTTCATATCTTATCTAGACAGTGATTACTGTATACTTGTATGTCTATTTTTAAAATACTTTGAGCGAGGGTGTTGTCATTATATTGATTCACATAGAAATATAGAATTATATTATGGTTGCCGTTTGGACACTTACATTCAGTGCACGCCGCACTTATGCTAACGTCATCTGCGTTAATATTTAAATTAATTTTAAAATGGCACCTCTCAGTGGATGTGCCAAAAGAAAACTGAAATTACAAAGAGAAAAGCAAAATGATAAAATATGGTATTATTAGGTTGTATACTTATATATTTGTAGTAATGTTACGCTGATAACTTTTAACTGATAACCTTTTTATAATATAAAAAAGTCGGAAAGGAGGGGGCCCACCTAGTGAATATTTTTCTGTTTACGTGCCTGAGGGGAAGTAACAGCTGTCCTGTTTTTTTATTTTCTTAATATGGTCACCCTATATTAGTATATTATTTAAGTATTAATATTCTTAGAAAAATACTAGTCTTAATGATAAAACTTTTGCTAATGAAAACATACACATTTTATTTCAATTGTGAATTAATTCTGTAGTTGTAGTAGTTTGTAACATGTTGGTGTTTATAATAAATTTTATAATGAATTAATAAAATATTAACTGATAATACTGCAATTAAACATTTATAACTTATAATTATTAAGTAAATTTAATGAAGTACACGCTATAATACCTGATCAAATGATTACAATATTTTTTAACAAATATATATACAAAATCTAAAAAGTATTTAAAAAAGTCTTTACAACTACCATTGAAAATCATACATCGAAAATAGCTTAAAAGAAGTACATTTGATGTTATAATCATAATACTAGTATCACATAGTACAAAATTAAATATCTACGAGTGTAATATATATTATTATTATTATTATTATCAAAGAGGTAATAAAAACCAATGTTTAAATTATAAATGGAAAATAAAAAAAGAATATAACAACTTAAAATAAATAATGGACAGAAAAATGAATGATAAAGTAATCATAATTTAAATTTCTACAATATTAAAATGAAAAGTAGAAAATTATACATGTATACTGTAAATAATAGTTTGCATACTATACTCGTATATTATAATGATAAATCACTATTGTAGGGTTATTGGTCATTAATATGTCTATAGTGCTAATTAAGAACCATTATTGGAGAGTTAAATTTTATTAAAATTCATATTATTTAAATATTCTTGAACTTGATTGATTGATTGATATTGATTGAATATGCTAAGAAAAATACATGACCTAAAATATAATCAAATCAGAAATTGGAAATAAGATTTAACCAACAATCAAAAGCACTTTATAAAAGATAAATTATGGTTCAGTTTGTTAGAACCACAAGACAAGAATAGATGGGACATGTATAGAGAGCAAAAAACAAGACAATGGAGATTGTTTGGAAAATGGATAGACAGTAAATAGGATAACTTACACAATCAACAGAAATAAATCGGAAGATATAAAAAAAAAAAAAAAAATAATAATGGGAAAAACTAGTTTCAGCAATTAAAAGCCTAAATGGCTTATAAAGAATAAAAAAATTGTTCTTAAATCCAATTGATTAATTTAAATTGATAATAAATAGATGAATACTTTAATATTGGACAATATTTATTTATACAAAATAATTTAGATAATTCAATCATTAAAAATTAATACTATACTAATTCTACCTAACAGACAGAATATTATGATTTATGATTGTTGAATCTCAGTTAAAGGCCCACCTCTAGCTGGCCTGGAAAATAAAAATAGTGGTAAGGGCCAAAAAACCCCTGGGTTGACCAACTGACATCAACTGAAAACCTAATCGGTACCACGGGAGGGGGAGCCCCACCGCATGTCGGACGGACCTAGCCACTCCAGACTCGGTGCCCCCAAAGTTGAGAAGCCTACTTCGGCTGAAATGTGGTGGTTGTGGCACAGCGCGAGATAGTAATAAAACCACAACACCCAGTGGAAACCGCGGGTTCCAACACAGTTCTCGTGTTCGCAGATTGGAAGGGTACGGGCCTAGGCTCGGTGCTGGTGGTCCATACGACGACCCGGTCCCCTAGGTCATACCTTGAGGTTCGTTTCGACCGTGCCTCTTGAGTAACACCTCGCATTAATAGAAGGTGTGTGGACGATAAGGCCTCGGCCACAAATTCGGATCTCGTGTTGAATCTCAGTATTAGGCAATATAGTAGTAGTTTATTAAAAATTGTGTGAACTAAAAAATGATTAAGAAGTAAAAAATAAAATAAAACAATAAAATGAATCAATATGTTAAAATTTATACTTTTTAGGCGAAACAATGTTTTTGCTATAAATAATGTGTTAATGGTTATATAATCATAAATATAACTAAAAACAGTAATAACTCATAAAGTTAGGAGTTCAATATCATCAAGTTATGATGAATAACAAATTAACTCTATATTATACTTTAGTAATTTAAATTTTTTGATCATTTATTTGGACAATAAGTTAATTCATTGTATACTTTTTTGTACTACAATACTTCATTTTAATTACGTATAGTCGATTTAATAAAGTTTTTACAATACTTAATCTAAATAGTTTATAATATATAACAATAATAAACCTGTATTACAATTAAGTATCAAAATGTGGAGGCTTATCAATTACTACCACTCCAGCATAACTTCGTCCAATATTCATTGATGTTGTTAACATAGACCAAGTATTAGTGTTAGGGTTGTAGATTTCTACAGAAGCCAAATTAGAAGCCCCATCATCACCACCCACTACATACAATAATCCATCTAATGCAACAACTCCTAAAATAAATAAAATATATTAAAATTAAAATAATTTTCAAAATATTTTTCTTCTTAACTCACACCTCTTCATACCCAACACATCAGCTATCTATCTCTGCCCTCTACAAACCTGAATCAACTCCAATTTTTATTTTTTCATATAATTTGTACCAATGTGTGCCTTTTCTTAATTACTTCTCATGAACATATGCCTACAATTTTCAAAATATAAAAATAAAATAAAAATTACCAGCATTTCTTCGACACATATGCATATCAGCTATTGAAGTCCAAACTCCAGCACTTGGTCTATAAGCTTCAACACTATTTCGAACTTCTGGTCCATCATGACCACCAACAGCATACATTACACCATCCAAGATTCCTACGCCGGCACCACTTCGACGTACACTCATTTCTGCAATTGGAGTCCAAGTATCGGTACTCGGATGATAACATTCAACAGATTTTAAACATTGTCTTGATAATCCATCATAACCACCAACCTATTCAGTTTAATTGTATAACATTAAAAAAAAAAAAAATTAAATGCATTTATTATTTATTTAAATTTCAAATTACTGCATATAGAAGATTATTGAGTACTCCTACACCAACACTACTCCTCCTGGTAGACATATTTGAAATCATTCGCCATTCTTGGGTACTACAATTAAAAACTTCAGCACTATTTAAACCACTAGTACCATCAAATCCACCAACCTTTAATATAATATGTATATATATAAATATACATTATTTTATGTAATATAAAATATCTTTAATTTATTTTTTCAAATCATATTTCTGTATAACTTACAGCATAAACACAATTATCTAACACAGCAACTCCTAAAGTCCCTCGTCTGGCTAACATAGCAACTGTTGGTACCCAACATGGTGATGGCGAAGATAAATCAAGCATATCAACTGTACGAACTCTTAATGATCCATTAAAACCACCCACAGCAAATACACGACAATCTTTTAATACTGCAAGACCAGCTCTACAACGACGAGTACTCATTTCTGGTCCAGACTGCCATCGATTAGTTGCTGGATCATACCATTCTACACTACGAATTGCTTTAGGAGCTTGCCCACCAACAACCAGAATTATCTATTAATAAAGAAATGTATGAATTAATTATAAAAATAAGGCTAATTACTAATCATTACTTTAGGTAAGCCAACAGGTTGCCTAGGCTTAGTACGAATCGTTTTTGGAATAGTTCCAGGCTGCTCAGACTTAAGTAAATGAAAATTTAATGCTTCAATTATATAATCTTTACCTATAAACATAAGTTAACTATTACATTTTATCAATTCTACAATAAAGATAACTAAGGACATACACTCCAGACTATTTTTAAGAAGAGGTTCCTCTTCTACTCTTTTTAATAAATATTCTTTTGATGCTAGTGGCAAACGCACATGTTCCATTAGTTTTGGTAAAATTTCTTTTCTACAACTAGACTCATGATTCACCCAACAAACAACACATTCAAATACCTAATTTAAAAAACAACAAAGTTAAATTGTATAATATAAAATCAACTCTATATAGTATATAATGAATTAATTTAATGAAACACATTTAAATTTAACAATTAATATTTTAAAACTTGATTAATATATATAGTTATTAATTAACTATGCATATTTAAGTGTTGTTAATGTATATTGCTAATCAATTATATTATAAAATAGACATGAAATATTAATAATATATGGTTTAGATTAAATGAAAGCAAGAAATTATTACAAATAAAACACTCTATTCAGAATAAGAAGATAAAGCTATGTATCATATGAGGCAGCAGTGATACAGTTCATTAATGGTGGAGTTAAAGCAGTTATTTGTAATTAGTTATGGGTGTGCATACAAGAGCTGAAAACAAAGTATTTAATATATACAAAATGATAATTATATAAATATTTTAATTTTCTTGTTTTATCCGTTACTTTTAATCAATAAATTAATAAAAATTAGATAATCTTTTCAATGTCAATAAAAATAAAAGTTAATATTCATTACCGGGATAGTGCATTTAGTGCAGCCATATGAATATCACAAAAAATATACAACTTATCTAATTATACTAATTAATGACCATTAAAGCTAGTGATATGATTATTCCAATAAGCTAACATAAGCTATAATAACCAAATTTTTAACTATAATAATGTAAAATTGTCATAATAACTTTCACCTATAAATAACTATTTTGTAATTTAATAGAAATTTCTAGCTACTAAAGGAATGAAAATACAAATTTAACAATAGGTTTTTTATATTATGACCAATTTTTATTAAACTGTATTAAAAAATATATAATAAAAATAATATCTATGGATGGATATTTTCATTAGGGTAACATGGGAGGGAGGGCACTGTATATGTTAGTATTTATCTTACTTTCTCTTCAGACGGTACAGTAAGTTCATCACTAGAGATCAACTTAACTACTTGCTCAGATGTTAAAGATAGGAACTCGTCACCCTCAACCACTTCTCTATAATAAAATAAAATAATTAATAAACAATAATTATTATTATATTAACGTTTTTTTTTTTTTTTTTTTTGTAATTGGAATAAATAATATCTCACGAAAAATGTTGTTGAATATATGATTCAGAGCTTGACAACAATTCCATACAACCATGTAAATCAGCAAATGCTTTGATACCAAGACAATTTGTTGGATGTAATTGAGTTTGTAAAAAGTCACAACAAGCATCTTGTACATCTTGCAACTGTAAGAGATTTGCAGCAGGCAATAAGACCTTAAAATATTTAATTTCATTAAAAAAAAGTAATTCACAAATCAAAAAACTGTTCATACCTGAACATTTTCTTCTGTAACCATAATTTGAGCAGTATAAATAAAATCTACTAAAAGTTTTAAAGCAGTAGAATCTAATTCTCTTATTATAACATGATCTTTATTGCTTTCTTCAAAACTAGTGAACATTGCATGAAAATATGGACTACATGACACTAAAACAACTTTATGACCATAAACAATTGTACCATCATCTGTTTCTAATTTAATGTCACATAGAACTTCATCTCTAAAACAAAAGTTAGTTAACAATTTCAGTTACTCTAGTATTATAGATTACACATAATATACTTGCGTAAAGATTGTAAAGCTTCAAATGCACGAACTGTGTGAGAACTATTTCTATATGGTGTTCGCTCTCGTCTTCCTGATCTTGGTAATTGTTTTTGAGAACTCTCATCCAATGAATTCTGGCTTGCGTATCTCAACAACAACCCTCCTCTAAACAAAATAATATAATTAGGATATTTGTGAATTACAAATCAGCAGATCATTTAAAAAACTTACCCATTAGTACTCAAAACACTGTCGCTTTCCATAATGAAAAACACTCAAAGAAAATTGAATGTTAAATGATTATTTCAGTAATACAAAACTAGATTGAGATAACATAGGTAACTCATCATAAACATAGAGTTGAATTATTTTAAAGAAATAAAATAAAATATAAAATATTTAAATCCATTTTTAGAAACATTAAAGTTTATAGTAACTATAATGTGATATCAGTAGGTTTTATGATACCAGTTATTCCAATACTCTGTGATAAGAATCGAATTATTGATCATAGCAAACAATATCTGATCACAGCACATGGTCAACCAAATAGGACAAAAAATCTTATTTTAATTTTAATTATCCAGCGCTGTAATCGGATAAGTTTTCAAATCTAATATTATTTTATGCAAATTATTTATTATAGTGGAAGTCTGTCTTGCATAAATTATAATTCAAATAATAAGTAGGTATAAACAAGTATTGATTAGAAATACAATTATATTCCTTGATTATATAGACAGGAAATAAACTTTTATTCAATAATGACCAGGTAAAAAATAATTTACTTAAGACGAATTTCAAAAACCGTAATATTATTCATAACGAAATATTTCGTTGTGAAAGAGAATTTTTGTTGCGAACCAGGAGTGTACTTAAATTGTTAAAGGAGCCATCCTTTTTTTTTTCTTTTATTCAACGAAAATATTTACAATCTGTTGAAAGGATTGAAATATTTGAATGTTCGATTTTTTAGCCGTTCCCTATAATTGTGTTCCATAGGTCAATGTAGGGCGGATAATTTGTTTATATATTAGGAGTTTGTTATTTAGTGAAAGATTTGATTTAAGAAGGTGTCTAATTTTGTGAAGTTTTATGTTGAGGAATTTTCTCTTTATTTTTATATGATTGGCCCATGTGAGTTTGTTGTCAAGGTAGACTCCGAGGTAACGTGTGATTTTTGTTTGGGAAATCATGTCATTGGAGGGGGGGGGAAATTCGTATTTTCGTTGCGAGTGGACGATCGGAATAATGAGGGTGTTTTAAATTATACAATTCTTCGTACTCTTGTACAATTGTTATAAGCCTTGCGATGTCCATGATATGCGTAATAATAATTATAATTAAAATAATAAATATATTATAATTAAATCACGTTTGTGCTGAGTGTCAAAATGCAACAAAATTCAAATGATCAGTGAGGCGAACAGTGACGACCAGTTTGTGACACGCGTCCACTTATCAGCAAACCGCATGACGTCATCCGCACCAGTCGGAAAAATTGCCCCTTCGATCAATTTCGTCGGCATTACCGATACGTGCGATCCGTCCCCTGCCGGTCAGTGGACGCATATGTATAACTTACTATACTAATAATTCTAAAATCCGTTTCATACGATCCGTACGATGCGTATGTATGGACGCGTACCTTTAAACGATTCTTTTTAAAATCTGGACAGATGTTTGAAATCCGGACTGTCCGGACGAAATCCGAACGTATGGTAACCCTAGGTTTGAGTATCATAATCATTATGGAGTATTTCTATAAGTGGGGAATGTGAGAGGGACAAAGAAAAGGTTTTTTTAGGAAAATGAGGGGGTTAACTTCTAAATCCCCCACCACCAAATATGCATACGTGACTGGCACAGAACGTATATAATATAGTTATTCTGTGGTAGTGGTTTCGGGAGCCTATTTTAAAATAGTCTCCCGTCAACGATGTGGCACTTAAACAGATAAATTACCAACTAAGTAACGACGTTTATTATACTTAATAACAAACAGTTATACAAAAATAAACTGTATAATAGAAAAGGAAAATATATATATATATATATATATATATGTAAAGGTGGGCGTATAACGAGTTAGAAACTGAATCGGTGTGTCGCGATGATATCCAGAAACTGTACTGTGTCGATGGCAAAACCGCTTAAGTCTTATATACTTTTCCGGGTTGTATCTCGAATATTCTTGTTGTTGGGACGGTCGAACATTCTAGAACGTTTGACCGTCCGTATATTTCCGTGCGTTTGATAAGGAATTTCCCCGATGCTTGGGCGGCCGTATATTCTAGAATATTCGATCACCACAACAATATTAGGTTTAAAAAAAGACGCCAAAACCACCCATTTATATTTTAATAATAGTCCAATTGGCGTGTACACGTTGATTAATAATTTTGGGTGATATTAGGACCCATGAGGTAGCCCATTTGGCGAGAAACCACCCAATCTGACAATACTGAGATATATATATAGACCCTCCTAACGTCTATTACAATAACAAAGCCATTTCCTTTGTTCCCAATGTCACTTATCTGAACATCATACTAGATGCAAAACTACGTTGGAAACTATACATAACTTTACCTCCAGCTACTATTTCTCGATGATCCAAATTCCTCAAAACAGTGTCCAATACCTGGTGGGGCTCTCATCTCTCTTGCCTATTAACAATCTATCGCGCTCTCATTCGATCCAAACTTGATTACGGTTGTTTCTTTTGTAGCTCTGCTTCTTTCTTGAATTGGAAAAAAATTAACAAACTTCAAATTTCCTGTTTGAGGAATATTATGGGATTTGTTCAATCCATTCCTTGTTTTACCATTGAGATCGAAACAAACTGTGCACCTTTTAACATTAGATGCCAATGATTAACCGGCAAATTCCTTCTTAAATCTCTAGCTTACTCAAATTATTTTATTTTTGATATGTTATATTCCTTATTTCTTTCTTGGCTTTATGTATCTAAATCTATGCCTATACTATCTATCTCAGCTAATGCTTTGGCTCATTTTCACCAATACATTTGTAAATCATCCAAACTACATATTTACGAACAATCAATGGAATATCTTCTATTCTCTTCCCTCGTTGGATTAGAAAACCAATTCTTATTTTTATCTTCTCGGGAACTAAAAAAATGTCTTATCCTATGGTCAATAAAATCTTTTCTGAATTTTTTAAGTTGAATTTTCATGATTTCATTGTGGTGTATATTAATGGCTCAGTTTCACCTCATTTTGTCGGCTATTCTTTTTATGTTCCTGAACTACATATTTCTTTTATAAACAATCTACCTCCTTCTTCTTCATCTTTCACTGCAGAGTAGTATACGATTATTGAAGCTTTATCTCTTATTTCAAGCCTTATCTCTAATAAATACTTAATTTCTTCCGATTCAATGTCATGTCTACAATCATTAATATGTAATCCTTTTGACTCTCACCTGTTTTCCCTAGTCCTTATCATCAAATCAATTATCTTAAAACTCCATTAATCCAATTATACCATCCAATTTATTTAGGCTCCAAGCCATATCGGGATACATGGGAACGAGGTCGCCGACAATCTGGCGAAATCAACGTCCAATTTAATATGTCCCGCTCTCATCTAACTTCCTCATACCGATTTCATTTCAATTTTACGGCGTCATATATCCAACCTTTGGTTTATATACGGATCTAACCTCTCAGCTGATTTTGCTACCAGATACAAAAACATCGTACCAAATGTTCTTAACAAAACATGGTTTAACAACCTCAATTTATCGAGATCAAGTATCATACCATTTAATTGTCTACGTACAGGTCAAACATTACTATCTGTCCACCATAGGCGTGCACAGACCTCTTTTTCAGGATATGTAAAAGGCTATCACTGCCCCCCCCCCCTAAACTGAAAGTTAATTTAAGCGTTCGAAATTTTGGTTAGCATATGATTTGTATTTCAAAAATAAATTAAACTGTCTGGGACTGAATATAAAAATATAATAAAAATCTTAATGCAATACAAAATAACATAATATACATAAGACCAAATATGTCATAATTTTAATTTATTTTTTGTAATTTTAAAAAGAAGGCTCTATGTTTAGGGTATGCAGTTGCATATCCTGCATACCCCCTACGCAAGCCTATGCTGCCCACACGTACAAATTAGGACTAAACGACTCTCCACTCTACATTCCAACGAAAGTGATTGAGATCTATCTCAGCTTCTCTTTGATTGTCCGTCTCTGCACGCGAAACGCGTTATTTTGTTTAATTCTGTGCAACCCAGTGGCGGTATTCCCGGGGAAGCAAGGGAGGCAGTGCCTCTCTTGAAAGTACAAGAAACTACACGGTTAATGTTATTTAAATTATTAAATATGTTTTGCTTATAATTTCAAGCATAGACACGTTAATAAAAGGGAAATTAATAAAGATAAATATAAATATAAATTTAAATTATGTATTGAACGGACTATGGAGTATACCGTGCACGGTCTCGATCTTTCAAGTCCGTGGTACTCATCAACTCATGGGTAAGAGAATGCCCAAGTGTCTGTGCGGCGTGCCGCACTGCCGAGTGCAGAGTGCACAACAGGCGAATATAATATTGTGTATAGTAGTATACTAATAATTTGACATACTGTATTACTATACAATAAACTAGGCTACGGCTGCCCCTCCATACATTCCGTGTCGGCGGTTCCCACTTTCTCAGAAGGCAATCGCTGTCATAGTTATCGATACGTTGCATATACAAATTTACACACACAAACGCACATAAAATATGCTAATAGCGCATGCGCGATTCTCCGCGGAGACTGCACACTACCGTTGCCTCCGTCAGAAAACGTCACAGGCTGTGACTCACAGCGGCTGGCCGATAATTATTATTCTAACTTTTGGGTACAAACAGATTTTAGGCGTTCTCCATGTTTTGTGTGTACAAGTTATATTATTATTCTTTAAATCATATTATGATTATTTATCCCTACTTTATTCCACGTTATCACTAAATGAGTTATTATCAAATATCAATAGCAATTGTAATACGTTTATTATTTTGTATTATAACGTTTTGTAATATAAAAGATTAGAATAATTATTCAATTGTTTTATTTTCTGTTGTATTTGTTTAGGTAGACGATTAGGTAGTTCGTACTGTGAGTTGTGACTTCTGAGAACAAAATAAAGTATTCTAATTTCAAATTAAAGTTATTAAAGTGATTAGTATGTTTTTGTTTCAAATTGTTTTTTCATATTTTTTAAAAATGAATCCAATTTATGATGCGATTGTATTGCTTTTAGAACATCCTTACAGACGTTGGAGTACATGTGACAAAAACGATTTACTTAGGCAAGGTTAGCAAACCAACTCTTTCTCTGACGTATTTATCTGCAGACAAAATTGGCTCAAAAGTATTTTGTAGGTCTTTCAATTCCAACGTTTATACTAAACATTCTTGGATATGTGGAAGTTTTTATTTACAGAGGTTATTCTGTTGGCCATGCATTTTATTAAGTCGGTCAAATTCTGTTTGGATTACATTAGGCTATGCTGATTTTTACTAGGAAGACACTAGTCAATTTAGAAACTAAAAATTGTTATTATTTAGGTCAATAAATTTTTTTGAAATTTTCTTTTGCGTCAATTTTGTAAATATTCAACTATTTGTAACTCAAAACTAAAGAGACACTTTTTAGGGTTTATGTCTCAGTTTTGTATAAATTATAGATGTATATAGTATTTTGATATTATAATTATAATTTATATACAATATACCTACCAGTAATGCCAAATTGTAACTTAGTAGTTAGCATTTAATTGTGTGTCATAGTGAAAATGAAACCGTTCTCTGACAGATTTTTAAAGAAAAAAATTGTATTTAAACAAAATAAATGAGTTTTTAGGACTGTGCGATTCGCTTTAATAAGTCTAGATGGGTAGGAACAAAATTGTTGCCTCCTCAAAATTTTAATGCCAGAACCGCCACTGGTGCAACCATAGACCTATAAACTATTATAGGTTAACTATAATAGGTCTATGTGTGCTACCAGTAATGATTTGAATCCCAAACAGTTGGTACTAATCAAGGTTTATAGATAATATTTATTTGAGTACTAATCTTTTTATTTTTTTTTTTGTTCTTATCACTCTGGAAAAACATATAGGCTCAATTCATGTGATACAATAAGGTTCCTGATTAAAGATATCTTTAAAACATTTTTTTTTGGATTTTAATATAGTATATGAATATTAAAAATCAATTGTCTACTAGTAATAAATCACCACTGAATTGTTTTGGTTCATATATTTTTAATAATTGATAAGTCTTAAGTTGTAGTTTTAATTACTATGTACAGAAGCATACAAACAGCTTGTATAGGGCTGAATAAGGTGAACATCTTTTATTTTATTTGGAAACTATATGTTGCAAGCACATTTGAAAAACATTTTTTTAAACTTTTATAGTTCCATCGTTTGAATGATACTGTAAAAAATATACTAACTATTGGTTTTATGGACCAAATGAGATGGAGAAGTAACAAACATTATAAACCTGAGTTCAAGAAGTTGAGGAGTCAAAAGGTAAGTAAATATTTAGAGTTGTTAAATAATTTTATATATTAAACACACAACTGAGTCTTAATAACTAGGAATTTTGAATAATTCTAATTCAATTGTACATTCTTTCAAATTTATTTTTATTTAAATTTATCAAGATAACTTAAATATTTCTTATCCTATTTAAGTTTCAATTTATAAAGGTTAAATTGTATAAACTAATTATTTAAATAGAAATTATACTCTCTAGTTTTGTTATTACTTAAGGGAATTGGAAGCATTAACTTTCTATCTTTGTCTGTTTTGGATTTTTGAAAATAATTTTATTCCATCGTGATATATACATTTCTTAAACTATTAATTTTATCTCTATAAACCCAACTAAATTAAATTTAAATTTAAAAATTGTCAATAGTGAATTTAATTATTTTTTTTATTGTCATGTCTTATATTTATTTGATGTATTTATCTTTAAAGTCTTTTTGTCACTTATTTGCTAAGATGAGTATGTTTCATATTCATTGAAATTAGTCTTATTTATAAAAACCTAGACCTAAATTTGGGTATAATTAATTTTGTTTAAAATAGTTTTCAATCATGATGAATATTTAAAATAATTGTTTTTGAAATATAATTATAAATGAAAACCAATTTAAATGTTATATAGGTTCTCAAAGTGACTTTACCTGATTTTGAAGATGATGCAAAAGATTCTGATGATTTTAGTCCTGAAAAATTACGTACTAGATACAAAGAAAAAGGTATACAACCCACAAGACCCTGGGTGGAACGATCAACCTTTATCAATAATACAGGCTCTATTATTGAGCCTTATGTTCCACCAGAAGGAGATGGCAAAATTTCACCTATTAGTACTGCTGTAAAGTTCAAATTAATTTTCTTAATTATATCATAACTATATTTTAAATATAATTAGATATTATTATTTACCTTATTTAGGGAGCCAAACAAAAAATCGAATTATTAAAAAAAAAAAAAGACACTTGGCAAGCTATTCGTCAGATAAGACAAAATGAAGAAGAATTTGAATTATATCCAGAATTCATAACAAAAGCACAAGATATTTATATTAAGGCTCATTCACTTTTAGCCAAGTGTGTATAAATTAATATAATTAATTTCCTCTTCTCATAATTATTTTTATTAATATTCAATTTGAATGATTTTATTTCATTAGCAAAGACAAAAAAAATTTACTTCAATATGTTACCGAAAAAGCTTATGTTGTAAGTAGATGACTCATTTAATGGGATTACTTTAAATGAATATACTTGTTTTAATATAATTTCATATTGTTTATATTTTAGGAAATGGTTCATAATATAGACAATAAGACATTACATTGGTCATTTATAAAATCGGTTGAACCACCTCGTGTTGTTCATGCAAGAGTGACGGATATTATAACCAAAGATAATTTGTTTGCACAAATTACTGTGCGTTTTCATACACAACAAGTATATATATATATTTTTAGATAAATTTAAATTACAGGTTTTACGTTAGTTGTTTTATTAATTAATATATGTTTTTAGACGTTATCAGTTTTTGATCGTTTTGGACGCATCATTTTTGGCAGTGATGTAGTTGCTAAAGATGTTTTAGAATATGTAGTATATGAAAAACACATTGTAAATCAATATGGAATATGGCGGATACATGGAAAAATCATTCCTGATTGGATGCCTCCTAAAGAACCAGTTAAAATTACAAATTTAATAAATCTTGAACATGAAACAGAAACGGCTTTAGAAGCTATACCAGATGAAGCAAAATCTAAAATTATACTTCCTGATGCATAGCCACAGTTTATCAATGTAAAAAACAACAAATAAAAATTTAGATACTTGTTATTTTATTAAATTTATTTTTTAAGTAAAATATGTTTGTACAAAAACCACTCAAATTCAAAATATAAAAATATATGATCTACATAATATAAATACCCTCTCCGTAATAATACTGAACATAAAAAAATACATTTAAAAAATATTCTTATAGTAACGTAAAATAAATGTTTTGCTGTATATTATTAATATTAACAATTTAGTTTTATAATTTTTAAATAAATTATTTAAACAAAACTACTCGTTGGTTTATCAATATATACAGGATTTTTAGTTTTAATATCAATTTTTTTTTTTATTTGCTGATCGTTAGTTAAGTTCTTAGGTTTAGGTGGTAGAGGAGGTGGAAGATGTCTCATCACTTTAGTACTATTTTCAGCAATTGGATTTGGCCTTTTAAATTCTCCATCATTAACAGATTTGTAAAATCGTGCTGACTCTCTGTTTAAACTATTACGCTCTGTTAATCTAATTGATTTTCGGTGTTTTTTATTAGTATCTACAGTTTTATTTTCTTTATCCTAAACAATACAGAAATAATTATTAAAATAAAAGAAAACGGAATATTATTTCCAATACCTTTAAGAAGTCTGGCATTTCAAAATTGATCTCGGTACCACGTTGATCTTCTAATCTACTTCTTTGAGCACGTTTTAATCCTTCATATAATGCTAAAAATTGATATTAGTTTAGTTGTAGTATTGAAGTTAGTAATAATTTATAATTAAGGATAGTTATCATTAGAACACAGATTTATAAACATTAAAAACCAACCAAAAATGCATTTATGATGATGAAATAGTATATAATGTGCATATCATATGATCAACCAGAATAAATATGCAAATGCATACAAATCCGCACTCTAGTTATCATAGATATTGTGGAGTAGTTGATAAATACGTTATAATCTAAATGTTGAATTAAAAAATATTTTAAAAATGATTTAATATCTTCCTCCTCGAGAAAATTCTATATACACCTCTGAACAATAACATAATATTTATTGAATTAACCAGGAGCACTTATTTTATTATTATATTAAGTAATAAGATTGTTGTCATTAATAGCTTGTATGTAAAATTTTGATCAACAGTACAAGTTTGAAAAAAAATTGAAATCATAGGGTTAAAAATAATTCTGGTCAAAAGTTAGTAAAATATATATACACTATAATAGTGGTCGGCAACCAGTGACGTGCAGATCGCATTTGGCCCACAAGTCTCTTTTACATGGCCCGCATTAAATTCCAAAACTAAGAAATTTCATTGAATATTATATCAATTTTTTGTATTGTCTGGCTTTTTTAATTTGTAAATTTGGCTCAAGAGTCCAAAAAGGTAGCCACTGCATTATAGCCAGTGCTGAATTACCCATTAGGCGGAGTAGGCGTACGCCTTAGAGCCCCACTCATTCAATTCTGTTCTATTATATTAACCATAAATATATTTATTAATAGTAAAAAAAAAGAGTAATTACCATCACTTTCAGACTGTCGATCATTTTGTATTTTTGTAATTGGCTTAAATTTAGCTATAATTGGTGGAAGTTTGCTTAATGTTTGTTTTTTTTCAGAACTATTAATTTTTTGATCTTGAATAACACATTGTGATTTACATGTCTTTTTGATTTTCTAAGATAAAAACATAAAATAATTTAATGTGATATATTTTAATAATAATATTCTTACTCTTTGTTTTTCATGAAATATTGAATCTCTTCTTAAAAATCTACTAATCAAACTAGAAGACTGTTCTGATCCCCATTCTTCAGACTAAATAAAAAAATAAAGAAAAATATTGGTATGTTATTATGAATAAATTATTTACATTAACTAAATAACTCAATTTATATTAGGTAATTATAATCAGAAAAATAACCATGATATTATAATTTAAACAAATAAAATTAATTTTAGAACCATAAAGTTTCCTATTTCAAAATAAAACATAATAATATATATATATATATATATAAAATATATAATAAAAAAAATAATACAAATATATATATATATATATAAAATATATGCGAATATATAACATATAATTATGTGTTTCATATTGACTTCATGGTAATTATAATTATAAAAATGACAAAAAAAAAAAATTAGATAAAAATTTAATATATTTATTCACTTTTAAAGATCCTTGATCTGATGGAAGTTTCATTGACTCTGGATTTTTATTTTGCAATAAATCTTCAAATACTTGATTGGTTAAATCATCTAAATTAGTAGGATTTTGTCCATTTTTTATTGTAAAACTTTGAGCAAATGATGTCATATGATTACGAGTCAAAACTTGGATTCGTCTATCTTCTACCATTGAAACATCAATATCTGGATCAATAACTTCATTTTCACTAATCTAGAATAGCAAATTAAAATAAATATTGTAATATTTATATTTTTTTTAATATCAAAAATACTCACAGAACATAATGTTACCAATTCAATTTTATAACCATAAGATGACAATATAGGCCCTATTTCTTGACCAATTGTTGAGTCTATTTTACAATCAACATGTATAGTTTTTCTATCAGGTAGATCCAGTCTGAACGATATTCTAGGTTCAACTTTAACATCTAAACCATCTAGTAAGCAAGAATTACCATTTGAATCAATGATCTATAAATTAAAACAAAAGAAATAATCATTCACTTTGAATTTATTTAAAATTAGACAATTAATATGATAAAATAAGTACAAATTTCAAAAAATCAAAAAAATCATATTCTATATCTTGAAATTTATTAATGCAGTTAAACAAATAACAAAACTACATCATTATATTTTTTATTTTTTAATAATGTTAGTTTTGAAACATTATACTGTACTATTATTTAAACAGTAACAAAACATTTAAAATTTTATAACATAGTTAGAATTGTATCAAATTACCTAGAATGTAGTCTTATAATTTCACACCTCATATACAGTACATCAAAATGTAGAAATTACAATTAACAATAACTATACAATAGCTATGTATTAACAGTAAAAGTAGTTTAGAAAATGATAACATCTATAGATATTCACCAATTATTTTAAAATAAATACCAATATAAGTAGTTCAAAAATAAGATTAATAATAAAAATGCAGTTCACACAATCCACATTTTACAAGTTTTGTTGACACATCATATAAATTCACAAAATGATCTAACCAAATAATTGGAACTAAAATGTAAAAATTTTAAATTCCAAACTAAAAGTACTAAAAGAGGTAAAAATTATTATAAATCAATATAATGCAGTACATTGCCAATTAGATGTATAGTAATCAAAGAGTAATCGACAGAGTACATATTTATTTCTAATTGTATACACTGTTAAAGAATATTGTATTTGATATATGGGAAAAATATTTCAATTCAGTGTAATATTAAATTTAAAAATCTAGAACCAAAGTAAGTACAATAAATCATGTTTAGCACTATAAAAATTAAATATTATATTATTATAATATAATATAATATAAACAATTGTACCTGTTCACTATTTGATTGAGCTTTGACTTTAAAGTTTTTATAGGGATAACCACGTTTATCAAATAATCTCTGAATTAGAACTCGAACTGTAATATCTGGAGATACATGCAATACTGTTGATGACTGGTCAGGAAGTGTCACTCGACACAAACCAGATGTTAATGGAGGTTGTACAGAAGACTGACGTCTCCATGACAGTAATGATTTACGACGACTTCCAGTATTAATACGATGTTCAACAGTGCTCATATTATTTGTTTCTTCAATATCAGAATCCTTATAAATAAAAATAATGAGTTTAACTTATAGACTATTAAATTTAAATTTTTAATAGTTTTAACAATTTATTAGTATTTATTATTGATTAAAAAAAAAAAAAATGTTTACCTTTTTGTTAGGATATTGCAAGGATTTTAAAATAGTTGTATCTTGTTCGTTAAATGGTATATGATCACTTATTTGTTCAACTAAATACATTTTATAAAGATCAGACTTTACAAATCGAGGATAGCTATCAAACTTCATTAAATTAAATACTTGTTTTTGTGCCTTAAATAAGTAACATATATTTATGAATTATTTTATTTGCTCATCATGATATCAAGTTATAAAATAAACAGAATATACCTGTAAAAAAAGATGAGGATCAGCTTGTTCAATTTGTTCAGTAGTGATATTTGAAGCTTTTGAATCCACATTAACTGGTTCAATAGCATCACAAGCTAAATGCTTAGTGTATATATCTCGAGCAATAGCACATCGTAATTCTTGATCTTCAGTAGAACAATAATGTTCACAGGCTGTCCAAAAATATAAATTCTCTGCGCTGAATTCTTTTTTCAAAAATTCCTATTTAAAATTATTTTGTTAATATGCTACAAATATATTTTATATGTTAATTTTTACAAGCTAAAAGCATATAAAAAAAAGGTTTTAAATGTAATTGTTTGCTTATACTAACTTCTTATATAAAGCTTATAATAATAATAATAATAATAAAGAATACAAAATCAAATATTGGCACTTAAATAAAATACAATATAATTAATATACTTACTGCAAAATTTTGTGAAATTAAAGGGTCTTGCAAAACCCTTTCAAATGATAATGTCCAATCCTGAGCTTGACTGGTTTTTGAATCATTCTAAAAATTATAACATTTAAATTCTTAATATGAAAATAACATAATTCATCAACAAAATGATACATAATATTATGTACTTTCATCACAGATGTAATAAAATTGTAATACCAATATGTATTAAATCTATACTTCAGCATTTTATATAAAATCTAGATAAATAAGTAAATACATTTATGTTTAAAACTTTTAATAGTATTATAATACATGGATAACATAACGATAGCTATTACAAAAAAATTTCTAAATAAAATTCCTAATTATTAACAACAGTGACTCATAATAAAATGATAAATTCAAGAGACATCCGCCCACTATACAGATTAGAATTTAAATCAGTGGTGTTATTTTCATATTTTTCATGGTATGCAAAATTAACTAGTAATAAATCTATATTCTTTAAATTATGTTATAATAATATATATAACTTATTTATAAAATTAAAAAATAATTAAAGCAATTAAATTAACACAGTTGGCAATCTACAAATATGGCAATAATAACATTTAATTTATTTGTAGTTATAAGAAAACAATATTGTATATAAGTATTACAGTTTAGTAAAATATATTAAAATTAAAATTAAGTGTAATGAAACATCATACTCAATAGAGATTTATGAAAAATTTAACAGTATTCAGTGGTTTAGCTTTTCAAAAAATACTTGAACTATAGTTAAAATATAGATACCGTGAATTTGCCTTCAAAAGAATTTGTTCGTCTCAGAACACGCACAAAAGAGCTATTAGAAAATGTAATACAACTAATTTTACGAAAAGGAAGCATATCCTTTGCTAATGAAAAAAATATTTACCAAAACCATTTAATTAAATACACTAGACATAATTAAAATCTTTATGTCACAGTATCATATCAATTTGCACATTGCCTATTTTTTTGATTTTTAATTATGTATGACAAACACAAACACATGCCACGGATATTGAAGTGACGTCAAAGCGTAGTAACCTACCTATATTCACATTTAAAATTGTAATTAGAACTACATCATATGAATACTAATGAAATCAACTCCTAAAGATATATTTTAGAAGGAACAATAAATTAAATAATAATTAAATAAAAATAATTTTAACAAGTTAAAACAATAAATATAGGAAATATAAAAATATTCAAATTAATTTTTCATGATACACATAGACATATTAAAGCCTACAAAAATTGTGAAATGTTTACAAAATAAAATTTGTAGCACAAGTATAAAATACATTATTCTATAATTTTTGAATAAATGCCTTCAACTATAATATATAACTCAACACTTTCAATAGCATACAAAATTGTATATAAATATTGTACTTCAGTTGTAATAAATTAAAGTTAGCAAAAACATTATAAGAGTATGAAAAATATAAAATAATTTTTTTGTTTTTAACATTAATTATTATATAACAATAATTATTATTCATTCACATTGAGGTAAATAAACTTATTAATTTGATAAAATAAAATATGAACTTACACAAAAACCATCAGTTTCTGGCCCAAAATCTTCTGTTCCTTCTTTAACATTTTGCAAACTTCCCCAAATGTTAGCAACACAATCTTCATCATTGGTTTTAAAATCTTCTAAGCTTTGAGTTACAAGTGGATATCTTAAACAATCAAATACTGTATTTGATTTGGTTTTGACATCTGATAATATTTCTTGACTTCGATAACTGCTTCCCAAACTCATTCCTTCACAAGAATTATTTTCTTGCTGTACACTACTTTCACTTTTTGATCTACGAGGTCCAGGTGATCTATTCAGTACAGGATAATCAGGTCCTAACTGACTAAATACAAGATCAACAGAGCTAGTACTTAAAGGCGAACGACTTCTTGGACCCCGTTCTATTACATTATCCTTAGGAGTGATAGAATCTGAACAATCAACACAATGTGTTGCCATATCACCTACCTTAATTAATAATGTGCCATAATATTATCATGTATTATTTAACTATATGTAAGAAAATAAAAATAAAAATTACTTGTTGGATGTGTAAACATTGATTCTGTACATCAACCATTAAAATTCTATCGGTCTGCATAACACAATAATCTTTATACCCGATACCTGAGTCACTGTTACTTGTTGTTGTAGTACTATCATGACTTGGATGTGGTGAATTACCATTAATAGAAATACGATTAACATCATTTTTATAATATTTTTCAATAGAAATTACAACTTGATTACAGTTTGGTGGAAAATGAGTACATAAACCATTAGAATCTTTAACACAAGTAATTTTAAAACTTTTAGCTTGTGTACAGTGTTCTTCATGTGAAGCTGGGTCTACAGCAAATACATGACAAGAATTTGATGGCTCATCATCAATAGATGATATAGTAACTACACCAAAGTATTTGCTATTTTCATCAGAACTGGCAGCACAGAACATAACTCGACTACCTGGATACATAGCTAATGTCACTCCAGCATTATTTTGTAAACAAAGATTAGATCTATATCCTGTCATCAGTACAGCTGCATGTGAACGTTTTTCTGCTTTCAAACGCTTAATACAACTCTTTACAACCTAATTTCAAAATAAAATAAAACTCATTAAAATATGGGTTTAAATTACAACAATGAAAAAATATAATTTCTTAACATCTTGATTAAATGTTGAAATAAAACAAAATATTTTTGAATAAAATTCAGTTGATATATATATATATATCAAAGGCGGCCAAACTTTTTTCGGCTACGATCTACTGAAAATATACTTGACCTTTGAAGATTGACTTTCTTAGACATTTTTTTTTATAAACCAGAATAAAAGATAAAAACTTTACAGGTAAAACTTATCGACAATTTGTTCATGACCACCATGATTAATTTTGTGCATGTGGCCTAAAAATAAATTCTAACATGATCGACTCTGAAATCATCCGCGATCGACCGGTCGATCGCGATCCACCGTTTGGCCGTCCCTGATATATATGTATAACTTTTATTTAAAACAAAACTTCATTTCAAAAATTTACTTCCAATTCTACATAAATGTAGTGCAAAATTATTAATTATTTATTAATTCATTTTTCTCTATTATTTGTTTTGATTCTTGAAATATTGGATTTTATAATAAATATTATAATAGAGATTTATAATTAGAATTAAAATTAGAATTAAAATTAGAATATTGATTTATTATTGCCGAAATTAAAAATGAATTTAGTATTTAGTACTATTAAATAATATGAAAATATAAATATGATCTAAAATAAATATTATGTTAATAAATTAAAGAAAACTTAAATCATACTAAATGAATACCAACATTTTAATACAAGCTTGGTTGTACTTAAATATTATAAAAATAAATAGGAATTATAAACTAACCATATAAAAAGTATTATAATATTTTAAATATAAAACTATAACAACCATACGAAACATTTAAAAAAAATATTACTAACTTGAAGTCGAGATCCAGCAGGAATACATGGCATTTCTATTGATCCTAAATACCTCACAACTATTTGGAAGTTATAATTGGTTATTTCTTCTTTATCATATGATGAACAATTATTATTACGAATACAAGGCTTTGATATATGAGGAAACTCCATGCCATAATCTTCATCATTTCTTATTTTATTAACATTAATAGGTGTTAAGGCTGGTCTAGATTTGTGTGGATATTTTGGTCGCTGTCTGCCTAATTCATTTTTAAACTCTTCATCAGAGCTATCTGAATAATAATTCTCTGCTATTTGTAAACGTAATGCTGATTGACATCCACCAATCAATTGTACAACATCATCATGTAATAGCTTACTAACATTATGGTTGCTAACAGCTACCAAATAGTCACCTGCTCTAAGACCTGCTTGATCAGCAGGACTTCCAGGAACAATGCAACTAAGTATACACGGTTGCTGTCCAGAAATAGTGAATCCAAAGCCATTTTTACCCCTGTTAACTTCCACCATACGTACACCATAGTTAGGTCGTTTTTTACGTCTTCGAACAGGATGCATTGCAAACAATAAAATTACATTATCAAAAATCTTAATGCTTCACTATAAGTAACTGATTGAATTAAAAACTTATATTTCACAAACCAAAATATACATTTTAAACTCAAAACATCTTTTGTATATAAATTGATAAAGCGAAATTAGTAAAAAACATGACAAAACATTTTTATTACCAAATAAATACAGATAATAAGTACTTATTCCTTAGAATGGAATTTTTATTTGACTCAGAATATACTTTAATGATATAAATGCCAACCATGAACTTTCTTCAAAATAGACCAGGGTTCGATAACATAGCCGTTAGAGTTTACCAATTTGGTAACAATAAATCGTTATCAATCACCTTATCACCTTATTTATTACATTTGTAAACAAAAACCAAAGACTTCCAATTTATTATACAATTTTGTAAGACATAACACATGCAAGTATAGAAATGTGTTTAAAATTAAATCACTAAATCTAATCAGCGTATTTTGTCACGTTTTTATTATTTTATTTTTAAATTTTTAAAATGTTATGAAATTATACATTATACAGTTATCTATTTTACGAGAAACATTAATTTCAATAATATAAAGTTTTTAATTTTATCCCTTATTGATTTTTTCTTAAAAAAAATGACTGTTATAAGTATCAAATGCCAAAAATGTAGATTTGAACTAGTATCCAGTGAGAGTTCTTCCATACTCGACTGTCATGAAAAGCTAATTCAAAATGCAGCTAGAGTTACTTACAGTTGTAATGATAATTTTATGGAAAATAATTGGTACCTTTCATCTAATACTTTACCTGATTGGATAAATTCTTCAATAGAAGAAGTAAGTGGTTAAGATAATTATTAAATTTTATACTACTACTATTTAAACAAATAAATAACCTTTTTAACACGTGTTTAATTTTAAAATTAAACTTTTTATTTTATTTAAGAAATTCGCTTTTAATGTATTTTCTTTTCTAAATTGACAATCAGTTTTAAAGTTGATAGGGTTAGGTTACATTAAAATTTAAATAATGTTTAAATAATAAAAATAAGTTGCTTGTGATAGGTATAATTGATGCAACATTAATTAATGACTGGCCATTAGCTTTAGTGAATATGAGAAGAAAATTATAAGCTAATGGCTAGATACTAATAATTATCATTATTAATGTTTAAAATATGATTTAAATTTTTATAAAAACTAGTAAATGTATGTTACACAGGAAGTTAATTGCTTAGTTGCCTTTTTTATGTATATATACTTTCTTTTTCATGGAGAAAATATGATGATAAAAATGGGTTTATAATTTAAATATTTTAATTTTCTATAAATTTTAATTTCTTACTGTCAATTATTCTTATATTACTTTTTCAGCCTATGTTTCATTTTAACTATGACGGTTTAATCATAGTAAAAAAAAAGAAAAGATAATTCATTAGTTTATAATTCTCTCTGTATTTTTGGATACTTGGTATTATTATTGTACTTAATTTTCTTGGTTTTAAATGTCTTCTTTCAGCCTATGTTTCATTTTAACTATGACGGTTTAATCATAGTAAAAAAAAAAAAAAGATAATTCATTAGTTTATAATTCTCACTGTATTTTTGGATACTTGGTATTATTATTGTACTTAATTTTCTTGGTTTAAAATGTCTTTTGGTTTTTCACAATATTATTCTATATTTTACTACATTATTTGTCGTTTATGACTATTATAATAGTAAATAAATATTATATTGATTTATTCATTTAAAAATTAAGAAAAAACTTTAGTGACATGAAACATGTGCATTGGTGTGTAAATAATAAAAGATTATCATCAACTTTGTTGCCAAGTTCATCATTTCATCCAGTGGCGTGGTGAACGACGTTTACCTAATGCAATTGCTTAGCCCTAGAAATTTTCTGGGGGAGGTGAGTAGGTACCCCTTGGCTCTTTGAAATTGTACCTTTATTTATGTCCTTACTCTGTTGACTGCAGTGGTGGCTTGCTATTGAGTACTATAACTATATAGTGCCACAGTTGTAGTTAGTTTGTCTAAGCTAGAGCAATTGGCATTTGTTGTTAGATTTGTAACTTATAAAGGAATTATTCAAGAGCATTTAGTTGCATTAGAAGTAGCTAGAGATGCTTCAGGCAAAGATTTATTTAATTTATTTTCTGAGATATGTGCAAAATACCAATTAGAATGGAAAAAAAAACTCATCACTCAAGCATATGATGGGGCAAGTACAATGCAAGGGGAATACTAAGGTTTAAGATCTCACATTCAATCACAAAATCCACAGGCTATATATATTTGGTGTTTTGCGTGTATATTAAATCTAGTTGTAGTCGATGTTTGTGAATCTAACGTTGATATTAAAATTGTTATTTCTAATATCCAAGCTTTGATTACATTCATGTTGGCAAGGAAATGAGCAGAAGACTGTTGAAGTTCAGCTATTTTTGTACTCAAATATAAGAAGTACATAAGTAAGTACAGTAAGTACAGTAAGTATAAGAAAAATTTGTCCACCACTCGTTGGACCTTACACGATCATGCAGTTAATGTAGTTTATCATAAATACTTAGTTGTTTTAGAAACTTAAGAAAATCTCACTAAGTCACCTGATACTAGCACAGTATGCCAAGCAAAGGGTCTTTATCCAAACATTGCTATAATGATCCTTATGAAAAAAATAATTGATATTACCACTCCACTCTCAAATTACCTACAATCATCAACCTTGGACTTTGTAGAAGCATTACATTTAGTTGATAGTGTACAAGATTGAATGAAAAAATTAAGAACTGAAGATGTTTAATAATATAATGGATGAAGCCAAATTATTTTCTACATTGCATAAGTTAGAAGAAACTAGTTTAAAAGAAGAACGATTGAGAAGGAAAACAAAATTGCCTAATGAAAATTGCCCCCCTAATGAAGCCCCCCTAATGTTATTAACAAATTTAAGATAAATATATATTTCTATATTCTGGATAAAATAATTGGTACATTAGACAGTCATTTTCAATCCAGTCGAGGTATATTAACAGATTTCAGTTGACTATCATATGCTCGTATTAAAAATGACTCAAAAGACTCATTTCTTCCTCCAAATACATTTTTAGAACTTCATAAATGGCTCTCATTTTTTTTTATTTACTCAGGTAAAGATAATAAAGAATAGATTAAGAACAACCATCGGTCAAAACAGATTGAAATCATTAATGCTTTTATCTTGCAAAGATATTTTACTTAATTTAGAAGAAGCATTAGCTAGAATGAATAAATCTTCTCAACTGCTAGAAAGAACTCTTTTATTAAAATAAATAAATAAATAAATTTATATTTATATGATACTGTAAATAAATAATGATATTACTATAAACCTATATTATTTTTTATGTATTAAATTTTAATTATAATTAATGCATTATAAAATGTAATTTCTAATAGTACATATACATATAAGCAAGGCTTCTTATAACAAAAATTCAAAATTAGCATACAGAAAATTATATATAGTTTGGTGTGGTGATGGTGTGGGAGGAGATAGTAGGTGTATCATTGTATAAATAATTTGCTTAGGGTTTGAAAGATGTTCACCACGTCACTGATTTCAATTATTAGAAATATAATAATTTTTATTTACCTTTCTACTTAATATTAAATATTTTTACTATCCACTTTATACTTGTTTTAAAATTGTACATTTATTTTATAAAATAAAAACTTACAACTGTTTATAATTTCTATGTTTAATCAAAAAAGTAATTATTTGGAAGTACATTTTCTTTATAACTATTAAACATTTTTATAATAATTGTAATTTTTGTTTCAGGGTGATTGGCAAAAAGGTAAATTAATTTGCCCAAATTGCAATTTAAGAGTTGGATCTTTTGATTTTGTCAGTGGTATGAAGTGTCCATGTAAAAAATTTATATTGCCTCAAATACATTTAGTGAAAAGTAAAGTCGATATTTATTTCCGTTGAAAATATAGTAATTATTTTTTATATTATATAATTATTGATAACTGCTATATTGTATAAAATTAATAATTTTCAAATAAACCACACTAAAAATGAAGCATTTTGTCAATTATTTATAAATTTATAACTATTGTGCATATTCTTGCTATTGAAAATCAAATTTTATGAAGAATAAGAGTGATGTAGGATCCTGACAACAACTCTGAACGCTCTTTCTTTATTTGAGTTGATATGTATGATATTGAGCTTTAAGGCTGATTTACACGTTACCAGTTAGTACTGGCATGCTAGCTGAAAGGTCACTGGCATGTGGCAGTTGATAGGCTAATCTTACACAACGCTAGCAGTGGCGTATTTAGAAACTTATTTTGGGAAGGGTGTCATACCTAATAGTGAAATAATTTTATAAATTAGTATAAAATGTTTTTTATCAACTTACTGTTAGGTTTTTTATTAACTCATTGAAATCAAACTATTAACTTCAATTGATTTAAAATAAGAATCCAATGTTTTTAATTTTTTTGTTTTACTGGTTCCATTTCAGTACTCTTTCAATACCAACTCAACAATTAAATGAAAATAAATTAATGAAATCGAACTAAATTAAACATATGATTGTATTAATCGTATTTTTTATTACTTTATGTTGCGCATATATGCATAATATATACTGTCAACTGACAAGACATGATAGTCATGAATAGTGGTGGATAGGTAGTTTTTTTGTTACAGGGAAATATTTTAATGGGGCCACTGAAATGAAAAAAAAATTTTGCTTTTAAAAAATGTATTATATTTACTCATCTTAATTTAATTTAAATAATTTAACTATAAAAAAAAAAAAAATTTCCATGAAAAAATTTATGGTATCGAGGGGTCACTGACATAATATAGGGCGAGAGCCCGCAGGGAAAAATCCCTTTTTCCCTATGGGCCTATCCACCTCTGGTCACGAACTAAGATATTGATATTCTTATCGACCGATAATTTCCCCACTTCAGATTATTTATGTACTAAGTGTGTGTGAGTGCAGTGCGGTCGATTTTTATTATTAATCCGATTGCAATTTAATTATTAGTGTGATATTAATATTTTTTTTTATATATACATTTTTTTTTCATTATACTTTAATACTTAATTGAATAAACAAACTAAAATTATTATATTACTAATATGTTTAAAATTTGACGTTTTCAAATATTTAGAAGGGGGAAACCCCCAATACCCTCCAAAATATGCCACTGGCTTCTAGTATAGGTGCTAACGGGCGATGCCCTTTAGCACCTATAGTAGACCTTTCTCTTTTCCACCAATACCCGTTTCCACCAAAAGTGTATCATTCCCTTTTCCACCAAATGAGATATTGATCACTTTTTTACCAAAACAATTGTATACTACGCTTAAATTAAAAGCTATAGCACAAAAATAACTTTATTTAACATATACTATTAATTCAATAAATGTAAAGGCATTATATAATATATGCGAGTACAATATATGTTAGAAAATGTTAAATTTTATTTAAAAAAAATGGTCAAATATAAAAAGATGAAAAAATAATATATTATGATATACGATACCTTAGTTATGTAAATTATAACTATATATATATAATTAGTTGATATTTGTTAACTGATCCAATAAGAAATTTAAAGTTGTTTAGTACTAGTGTTTTATTTCCACGTTTACTTTCGATAACTTTAGCCATCATAGAATTATAAATTTTAAAATTTACGTTTTATTTCAATTCACACGCAATTGTAATGCATTATTTAATCTGTGCCATCTTTTCACTCAATGACGTATTTTTGAGGGAGTGTTCTACATGTCTGGACACCCCCGACTTTTTTAAAAAAAAAGTCCTAATATATGGGACATTGGTGTTACCATTTATTTTATAGTACACTTTCTTTATTTTTTTTTTTTGTTATAAAATAAATACTATTTTTATATAAATAGCAAAACCAAAATTAATTTGATTAAATTCAATGCTACAGAGACCTATCTAAAATTTATCAGGAATATCCAGAAATTGTTTGTTATCTTTTGTTGTTTCACATGCTTTCAAAAACGAAATTATTCTTTTCAAGAACTAAGTCCTGCGCAAAGTAAGTACATTTGAGAGAACAATTATTTTACATATTCCTTAAGAATGGTGATACCATGAACATTAAAATACGTTGTTAGAAATTATGTTTTGCTTCGAATTTAATGAAATACGTGTATTTGTTTGACTTGGGGTAACTTTGATACTTTAAATTTTTTTTATTTTATTATAGTGGCTCGCAATCCAAAAAGGAAGTTGGGCAGTTGGCCATACAAAAATTAAAACATACAACATTACAAAATAATATTAGTGACAACATTATTAAAGTAACAGGATTAAAATCCATGAAAACAAAGCAAACATTTAAACTTGTAAAAAGTGATGTGTTTGATGTTTCTCTAAATAACATCCAAGCAGTATTGAAATTTCCAATAATAGATGGTATTGGAGACAATATAAAGTACAAATTTCCACATTCCGTTGATGTGAGAGAAGCATAGACAGTGTACAGTGTACCCACACAACATTTTTCAATATAACTCATTGAATAAATATTTGTTTTTCGTTTAATTGTCAATATTTAAAGTAAAATATTTTTAATACATTTAATAAATATATAATAATTCATATATATTTTTAAGAATATATAAATATTTAATAAATGTATAATATATAATATATATTTTTAAAAATGAATAAATATTTATTAAATTTATCAGATTAAATATTTTTAAATATAACTTATTAAATATTAAATAATTGTTTATAATTAATTATTTAATTAAAATTTTTAATAATATATAATATATATTATTATTTATTTATATATAATAGCATATATATATATATATATATATATAAGTACATAATTCAGCAGTAACATGTAAATTATAATACATAATTATGATTATCCAGTGATAATAATATGTAATTAGACAATAATCAATTCTATCGTTCTCCATTTTATACATGACGTAGTCATTAATTACGATTCAATTATAAATATATAAATAAATTATGAATATGTAATATCAAATATCACGAATCAGTAATCACGCGGTATGCTGTATGCATTATGATTTAAGCGTTGAACACTTAAACTCGTTAAAGTAGTACTAGTGTACTACCTAGTACCTATAAATGCCTATAGGCATTGCAGAATGCCGAGTAAGGCCATTAATATACGCCAGGTATACAGCTAGTGGTGCCATAGAGTAATACTAATATTTATTATTTATACTCTATGAGTGGTAATCACTATCTATAGGCACTATGTCTATATATTATACTGACTTGTCTCTACCATTTAATCTATTCTGTGTCTCTACTCACCCGGAAATCGGATTCGGTTTATATTTTCAAACATACAATTACACCAATAAGCTAATAAGATAAGAAAATTATTAGAAATATGATAAAAAACCCAAAGCCTGAGGTTTAATCCATCCAAAAATACAACGGCGCGGCGTACCTACTACAGTCTACATGTCATTACTCATTATACGTGACAAAAGTACAAAACCAGTGAGTACTTGTATTGGTAGGGTAATCTACATTCTACAGTATACACATGTATTATCTATGGTTGGTACTTAGTACTCAGTACTCACTACCATAGGCGTGCGCAGAATATTTTAGCTGGGGGTGCACAATCCTAAAAACAGAATTATCATTGCAGTATATTACTTAGCCACATAACAAGATACTGATGTACACATAATATGTGTACACATAATAAGAAATAGTAATCTTAATCAATTAGTTCATAAGCGGGCGCGAAAATCATACGAATATTGACTATTGTGGTAATATTACTATAATCACCAATATATTATTTTTTCATTATCCGCATTCTAAGACAGTTCATAAAACAATAAAATACTCGCCCGCATGTTGATTATTTTTAGACCCTTTTGTTAATCGCGCGATAACAACTATGACTCAGTGTGCGTACGTCGTGTGCTTGCGCTGTGTAAAAACACCTAATAACGCTTCCTATCGGTCGTTTTATCCGTTTCGCTTTGGGTATAGCGTCCTCTTAAGGTACGAACATTTTCTACAATACGAACAAAAATAAACATTTTGAGATAATTATCTGAACTTTCTAATATTTTAACCTGGCAACACTGCCGGGCGGTTCGCCGAGACGCCGACTATTGTTGCCTGCTGGTATTATTATTTGTTACCATACGTTTGTGTCGTTATTCGTTATTGATCATATTGCTCTGCGAAGTTCGAAGATTGTCGAAGAAAATCTTGAACTTATCGGTTGTTAAGGTAATAAGGTTAACTTTAATCTTGTCTTAATGTATTATGTTTGAATGTTTCTATATCGTCGTAGTATCGTTGTTGTCCACTTATATTGTATTAATACATTTAAATTTAAAGTTGTGTGCGTGCCTTGGTTTTTTGTCCACTAAGAACGTACACGTGTAGTTTGGTTTTAACTTTTATTGTACGGGTTGCTGTTGTGTTCCCTTTTTTGCCGTTATAGGCATACGTCGCCACCCGCGTCACCACGTGGCACATGAATTTACTTGACTATAGTTGTGATTTACGTCATTGCTGTTTGTACAAGTGAGTTCGTCTTCCTTTTGCCACAAGCGCGCGGAATGTGTTGTGCTAGTGACCAGTTGTAAAGTATTTTATAGTCACTAGATCTTCATCGATAACCATGAGACCATATAATATAATATGATACAATATGACTAGTTATATATATTTTAAAATTATTATTATATAGGTGTATAGATAAATCCAGGGTACATTTTATTTATTTATTTGTTTTTGTTTCTAAAATAGAGCATTAGTATATTGGTTTTCTTTATTATTTAAACTTAAGATTTATATCTATAATATATATGTAGTATTGTTATAATAGTTCATAAACATTTAATTAGGTATTAGAATGGCATTTCATAAAAGTAAATCAACTAAACGTAGGCGATTTTTAGAGGAATTAAAAATGTTAGACTATATTGAAACAGACCAATTAGTTGAACCTCAAACAACTATATTACCTCAAAATACTCCTTGTAGTAGTACTAGTTGTAATAATTACACTTATAGTGAGTTAAGTATTACTTCTCCAGGACTTAACTTGTCACAGGATTTTGATTACAACAATGATGCATGTAGTGATAAAAGTGATAATTTTAGTTTTACATCTGATTCTGATATTGAGGAATTGTACAACAGTGAATTTAGCCAAGAATATAGTTTTTTTAATAGTAATTCATCAATTTTAAATAAATTAAGTGAGTGGGCTGTATTATATAATGTTACCAATGTTGCTTTGAGTGCCTTATTAAAAATTTTAAAAACTCATAACTGTCATAGTTATTTCCCTATTGATGCAAGAACTATTTTAAAAAATAAATCATTTAAAAATAATTTTCAGGTACAAACTGTATCTCCTGGAATTTTTCATTATTTCAAAATTCAAAATAGCTTAAATATAATTTATAACTCTAACAGTGAATACTTTTCTGATGATATCATTAAAATAGTGATTGGGGTGGATGGACTCCCTTTAAGTAAAAGTTCCTCAAGCTGTTTTTGGCCAATTCTCGGATATATTCGTAACCCTTGTTATAAACCATATGTTTTTCTTATTGGGTTGTATTGGGGCAAAGATTTTTTTTTAATATATTCAAAAGTAATTAACAATCTGTATCCATACTAGACACAATAAGAAAATATGATAAAGGTTAACATATCATGAGGTTTTATTGAAAGAAGCCACCCATTGATAGCACTATCTACTAACTTGATAATTATTTATTTTTATTTATTTATTTATTTTTTTTTTTTTAATTATTTTTAATTTAATTTAATATATAATATATAATTTATTTAATTTAAGAGATCTCTACACCACTTACGCTTCAGACGTCTCGGAGGATTTCCAGGTATTGTGGGAGTGGCCAAGTTTTTTATTAATTGATTAGGGTGATTATTTAGACGGTAATAGAATCTTTTGTAAAAGATTTTAGCTTCATCATTTATTTTATTAAGTTTCAAGTCGGTGTGTAGTGTATGATTTGACACGTAAGGTGGAGCATTCGTTAGTTTTCTAAGCACGATATTTTGAAAGGTTTGGATTTTCAAAATATTTGTCTTTTTCGCATTGCCCCAAAGCTGAAGGCCGTAGGTCCAAAGTGGTTTCAATAGTGTTTTATATATAAGCAGTTTAGTTCTAAGAGAGGTGTGATTATTATTGGATAATAATGGTTTAAGTAATCGAAGACGATGATTCAATGCTAATCTTTTGGTTCTGATATGATGAGCCCACGTTAATCTTTGATCTAACGTAAGGCCGAGGTATTTGATTTTTGGAGAGTAGGGAATTGGAATTCCATATAGGACAACACCAGGACAAGGAGTATGTCTTAGGGTAAAGGTTGTGTGGGCGGATTTATTCTGGTTAACTTTAAACCGCCATTTTGTAAACCATTTTTCCATAGCATTAAGGTGAGTTTGAAGATTTATTGACGCTAAGATTGGATTTTTGTTAATGGATATTAGTGCTTTGTCATCAGCAAAGTCAGCTACAGATGTGTTGGGGGTAATAGGTTGATCAGATGCAAAGATGTTATAGAGAATTGGAGATAGGATTCCACCTTGAGGCACACCAGCATTTATAGAAGCTAGATCAGATAGAGCGGAACCGTGGCGAACTTGAAAAAATCGATCCGTTAGATAGGATTTGATAAGTAAATAGTAAGTGGGTGGAAGGAATTTCTTAAGTTTATATAAAAGGCCATCGTGCCACACCCTATCGAAGGCTTGTGCGATGTCTAGGAACACACAGTTGCAATAAAGTTTTTTTTCCAGGGAATACGAAATAGCATCTACGACTCTGTGCACTTGGTGTGTGGTTGAGTGAGACGCCCGAAAGCCGAATTGAGTATTTGGAAGGATATTCTTTTGAGTAATGATAGGTATAATACGTTTCAGAATTAATCGTTCAAGTATTTTAGCGAAAAATGGGAGAAGGCTAATTGGTCGATGTGACGATGGAATGTTGCGGTTTATTTGGTTTAGGGAACAAGATTATAGTGGAGAATTTCCAAAGTAGAGGAAAATAAGAAAGTCTAAGTGAAGCATTAAATATGTGAGTGATATGAACGATAGCTCTAGTTGGAAGGGATCTGGCTACTTCCGCAGTAATGCGATCATAGCCCGGTGATTTGTTTAGTGAGTATTTTAGTATGGCATATTTAACATCGTTTGGTGTAAATGACTTGACAGGGAGAGTTAGAGGAAGGGAAGCATTCAGAAACGTTTCTACCGTATTCATATTTTCATTGTCAATTATCTCAGCGTGAGGTTGAAAAGTTTGAGAAAAATGCTCCTTAAAGAGTTCTGCTTTTTCGAAGTCAGAAATGGCAAGGCTGCCATCTGATTTCTTAATAGGGAGATTTGGTGATTTATAACGAAGAATTTGTTTGGTTTCCCTCCAGAGACTACCATCTTTGGGAGTAAGCTTCATTAAGTGATTTTGCCAAACATTTGCCTTAATTTTTGCTAGCATTTTTTTCAAGGAATTGGCCAGGTTATTATAATTTAGTTTATGGGAAGGGAGCCGAGTGCGCTGGAAGAGAGCTCTAGCTCTCCGTTTTTCAACTATTTTGTTACGTATTGTCACAGGTAATGGATCTGATGTGGGAGGTGCTAGAAAAGTACTTGTAGCTGACCAGGCTGCAGTTTGTATAACATTGGTAAGGTTGTGGATCGCTAAATCTATATCGTCGGGAGTTTTTAGTTTAATGTTTAAATGTATTTCTTTATCGACTAGTTCAGTAAACTTGGAATGGTCTGTGAATTTATTAAATAGTTTATTAGATTCTTTATAAGTAGGGGAAGTATTGAGAGTTAAGAGCACTGATGAGTGATCGGAATTTAAATCAAGTAAATTTTTAGTAGTGCTAAATAAGTTATTTGGAATTTTGGTCACAAAAATATCTAGAATGTCAGGGTTTTTCCGGGAAGACGAAGGCCAATACGTTGGATCAGGAGGAGCTAGAACTTTAAATTTTTTTAGATTGGTAAAATTGTACAAGGTGACACCTCGCGGGTTATTCGCTCGGCACCCCCACGACTGGTGTTTGGCATTAAAATCGCCGCCTATTATAAAGTAGTTATTGAATGTGCTAAAGTAGTCAGAGAATTTTATGTCCGTAACAATATGTTTAGGGGGTGAGTATATAGCAGCAATAGTGATTGGAGTATTATTTATTTTTAAATTGATAGCACAAGATTGGAGGAAATCTTGGGGAAAACTAGGCAAGGGATAAAATTCTATAGTGGATTTAACAAAAATAGCAGCACCACCGTGCGCCGTGTTATCCGGGTGATTTGTTTTAATTAAAGTATAACCAGGAATATGGATATACGAGTATTTTGTGAAGTGAGTCTCGGAAATGAGGGCAATATCAATGCGTTTGTTGATAAGAACAGATTCGAATTCATGGACATGGTTTTTGAGACCATTAGCGTTAAATTGTAATATTAGGAGCGAGTTGTCAGTGACGGAATTATTATAATTATTGGCCATTATTTGTCGAGGAGCTTGGAAATTACTTTAGTTAATAGAGCTATAAGTGGATTAATTAATGTTTTAAATTCATCTAGAAAACTGGACATTAATTTGTTTAAATCAGGAGGATGAGTTGCATTGATAGGAGGTGAAGTGTCGTTAGCAGGAATGTTGGACGTAACCTGAGCGTAAGTTTGCGTTTGTGGATTAGAGTGAGCGTGAATAGGTGGGTGGCTACCTTGTACATTAGTGGACTTAGTTTTATAATTATTATCTATTCGATTACTTGGTGCGCTGGGTATCTTTCGACGTTGAAGTTCTTTGTAGATTGAGCAGCCTTTGTAGTTGGCTGGGTGGTTTTGGGAACAGTGGACGCATTTCGGAGGGACATCTCGTGAATTCGGGCATGCAGATGACTGGTGATCCGCTCCACAACGAACACAACGAGGATGGTATCCACAGTATCCTCTGGTGTGTCCGTATTGTTGGCAGTTGAAACATTGGCTGATTTGTTTTGGTTTATATGGTTCTTCAACTTTAATTTTACAGTGAAGTAGTGATGAAAGTTGGAAAATTTCTTTAGACTGCAGTGTTGGCTCAAGATCGATGAAGAATAGTGGAAGGGGGTTCTTATTGACTTTGTGTAAAACATTAGTAACTTGCCTTACCTCAAAACACCGAACTTCTAACTCCTCTTTTATTAGTGTTAGAGGCGTGGATGAGTGAAGGTTACGAATAACTACCCGTAGTGGTTTGTCCTCATTCAATTGATAAGTATGATATTCAGCTTTTTCTGTTTTGAGGAATTGTATTAATGCCCTGTACGCACTAGGGTCCGTGGTTTGAATTTTCAATGAGTTAGTTGTAGACTTGCACATGAAATTGTCTACACCAATTAGTTCAATTAAGGTCGTACAAAGTTCGGGATAATCTTCGACACCTTTGACAAATATAGGTGGAGGAGGTTTAGTGAAAGTTTCAGCATCAGTATTAGTATTAGTTTGATGAGAGTTAGGTATATTTTCGTTAGTATTAGTTTCAAACGAATCGTCTTGGGCAAATACTTCGAATCTGTTACGTGTAACAAAAATCTTTTTTTTATGTTTTGTTAAAATAATATTCTTATTTAGATTCGGTGTTGATGGTTCGGAAGCTGAATTGGAGGAGCTGGAAAGATTACGTTTATTCGTTTGTGCTGAATGGCTAGCATTATTCATGCTGTTTGAATCGGGCTTATTTGAAGGACTGTTTTGGCAAGCATCCTGTATATTAGTTTTGTTTTTGCTGATAGTAATACTATTATTTGTATTATTAGTTTGTACCTTTGGCGATTTCCGCATGTTTATCTCGCGGACAAAGGTCGTCCTCTGTTGCGTGGCGTAGTCGATACGCGGCAAAAGATAAAGATACGGGGCAAAGATAAACCTCTAAACTGCAATGATTTCTTGTTAGATTTGGTTAATGAACTGAAATATTTATACAAAAATGGTTTTCAAACAAAAAATGATGTAAAACGTGTGATTGTAGATACTTTTTGTTGTGATTTACCAGCTAAAAGTTTTGTTCTGAAGACCAAAGGTCATACAGGTTTTTTTTCGTGCACACGATGTACAATTGAAGGCATTTATTCTGAACATAGAGTATGTTTTCCTGGTGTTGATTTTACCAAAAGAACTCACTTAGATTTTATTAACAGAATAGATAAAGAATATCATATGACAGATAACATTCCCGTTATTACTGAAATACCTGAAATAAACCTCGTTGACAGTTTTAGCCTTGACTACATGCATCTTGTATGCTTGGGAGTAACAAAAAAAATTAATTTTACTATGGCTTGGTATCATAAAAAATGCTCCTACTTCTGTAAGAATTCAAAGTAAAAAGGTTATAGATATTAATAAACAAATGTTATTTTTAAAACATTCAATATGCAGTGATTTTTCTCGACTTCCAAGGGGTATCAATGAAGTTCTTAGATGGAAGGCGACAGAGTTTCGTCAGTTTTTATTATATACAGGTCCAGTAGTTTTAAAAAGTATTATTAATGATAATTGTTACTTACATTTTGTTTGTTTACATATTAGTTTTCGGATTCTTTTAACTCAAAATAGCAGTCCAGACCTTATTAAATTTGTAGAACAATTACTTATATATTTTGTTAATGAATTTGAAGAATTATATGGTAGGGAATTGTGTCCCTTAATATACATGGTTTACTACATATTGTTGAAGATTATTACAAATATGGGCCTCTAGATAATTGTTCATGTTTTCCGTTCGAAAATTTTATGAAAACCTTAAAAAAAATGATACGGAAACATGAAAAACCACTGGAGCAGGTTATGAATCGTTATAATGAATTTCAGACTTTCTGTAAATCTAATATTCTTAATATTTCTGTGAATTCTATTGAATATTTAAAGCAACATAATAGTGGCCCATTGCTTGAAGAATGTACTGGACCTCAATTTAAAATTGTTATTAAAAATAATATTAAAATAAATATTAAATCTCTATCAGATTGTTACATTGGATTTACTTTTAATGGTAGTCTTAGTATTTTTAAAATTGTCAATGTCTGTTTAAAAAAAAGTGATTAGTTTAAAGTTAGGTATAGGTACTGTGAATGAATTCTATGAACCACTTATTACTATTGATATAGAGAAAAATGAGTATTCAAAATATTTAATTTTAAATAATTCTCTGGTGGCCGGTAAAGTTGCTTTTCCAATTCTGCATTCTGATACTAATTAATTTTAGCTGTTATTTCTTTATATTCTAAGTAGTTAATCATATATATTATGTACATTGTACAAGTTAGGTTAGGTTAGGAGATTACTAAGTAGATAGGTATAGGTTCTAATATTAAGATTGCCAAGAAAAAGTTTTTATTAATTAAAAAATAATGATAGTAGTTTGGTGTAATTTTTGTAAATTAAAATGAAATTACCTGCCGATAAATGTTATTACTTAATTAATATTTTTAAATATTAATTAATTTACCAAACATAAGTATATTGGTATGTATAAATTAATAATTCCCTACAAATTTCAATATAATATATAATATGTACCCTTGTATACACCTATGTATATTAATATTATGATGTATATTATATTAGTCAGAAGTTCATTAATTTTTTGATACATTATTAGTAGGTTAAGTTATTTTGTAGGTACCTATACTATTTAACATTTTGGTTTGTTTTGATTTAGATACTTTTAATAAATATAAATAATGAATGTAACAAAATATTCAGTTGTGCATTTTTATGATGATAACACAGTCGAGGCTGTACCTAAATTTTGGTTTCGCAAAAACAATAGTACATGTGCATGGCCTAAAAATACAAAAAATTTTCATAAACTTGTTGAAAAACACTGTATACCAAATGAAATGGAGTATAATTTCCTAGAAGCTCGAGAGATGTGTTCAGGAATAGGTAATTTATGTTAATAATAAATAATGTAAATTGGTAAACATATTTTAATGTAATTTTGAATAATTCTTCATTATTTAGAATCCCTGATAAAAGCTAGAGAGAAAGCAAAAAAAGCAATGTTTGTTTCTGACTTTTCTGATGATGATGATAAAGCTAATCGAAAGTTCATGTCCAATTTATTTAGGTAATATATGTACTCATTTATTTATACCTTCCTATTCAATATATTGTGATAAGGTTTTTGTATCAGTATATTATCTGTACATTTATAAACATTTATAGGTTCTGAAATTATTGAAAATAATACAACAATTAATACCTTAACCAAACCAAACACTAAAATGATTAATCTTGATGCACAATATCAGTCACCTTCTCCAAAAAAATGTAAGCAAATTATTGAAAGCAAACCTAATGGTTGGTCTCCATCTCCCCATAAAGCATCAGCTTCAAGTAATTATATGTACTATAATAGTAATACAAATTATGTATTAAATATTTAAAAATTTTAACTATATATATTTTCATGTCAGTGATCTTAAAAAATATAGTATTATAAACAATGTTTTCCTTAATAAATTAAATGACATTGGCAATATATTTTAATAATAATTCAAATTCATAAATTATAATATGGTGATATTTTATTAAACATATTATAAATATAAGTATTTATATTATCATTTAATTTCATTTTCCAGAAGTAGTAAGAAAACTGTCTTATTATGATAAAAGTCCTAAGCCAACATCTATTAAAAAAACAGGTTAGATATATAGCCCATATATATATATATATATATATATAGGTTTATGTATTATATATATTTACTTATTACCCATTCAATAAATGTAAATTTTATTATTATACTTGGCAGTAAAACAATTGACAATTTTCGATAAACTATTATCAGATGGAGACGAGAACATGACTGTAGATGGCGCAGATGGTTATATGGCAAAAATAAATACTCCTATTTCATCATCAAAAGCAGAAATTATTAACTCTTCAGTGACTCATATGAGTCAAGATAAAAGTATGTATATTTCTAAAAAGTGTAATACTCATATAATATATATTTTATTACTGGAATAAAAATAAATAAAATTGAACTGGATAAATGTGACAAATCACATTTTTGAAAAAAAATTATTTAAATTTAATATTTTGTTTAGACAATTTTAACTTAATTCATTAATCAAATTTAAATGTTATTGTTTTTATGATTCAATTTTTATCTAAATTGTCATCAACTTTTTTTTCATGTAAAACACAAACATTAAATCAATATTTTACGATCAAAAAGGGCAATCCTCTAATTTCTATATAATGATAAACTACCATCATCTAATGTCACAAAAAAATGTTGTATTGTTTTAATTGGTTTATATCACTATACATAATAAGTAATAACTAATAACTAACTTTTAATTTGTTATTATAGGTTCACAAAAAATGCTAAAAGCCGTATTGAGAAATATTATATACTTACAAACTGATATAAAACATATTGAAATAAAGCAAAATGAAATATTAAATAAATTGGAATCTATTGAATCAAATTATGGAAATTTTAAGAAACAGGATGATACAAATGATGTTAATGAATTAGAAGAGTGCAATTTTCCTATAGATGACTTATATAATTTAAATATTATAGAAGATCGAATAAAAACAAATTTTAATTTTAAAAAATGTTTGGTATGTATTTAGTGGTAAAATATATCATTATTTTTAATTAAAATATTATTGTAAAATTATAAATTATTATTTAAATTACAAATGGTTTAACTTTATACTAGAACATGAAACTTATTGTTGATATCCCTCCCATTTTAGGTACATAATATATTATATGGTTTAAATTTTAAGAAATATTATCAATTCACTGTAGTAATTAATTAAATTATTGTGGTTATCAACTTATTTTCACTTTAAACTATTTTTTAAAGTAGTTATACAATATTTAATATATATTATAACATGTATTCCTTTCATTTTTATAGATTCAATATTTATCATATTTGGGCGGTAATAATATTAATTGTACTATGAAAAGAATACTGATGAAATTATTTACTGACAATTTACTGTCTCTATTTTCTTATAATGGGAAAAAAGGAAAAAATAAATTTTGTGATCTTATTATTTGTCCTGTTATTTTTGGTAAGATTATTAATTGAATGCTATATCTTCGCATTTAAATACATGTATTATAGTTTATTTATTATTATTTTACAGATGCTGTAAAATGTCAATCTAAATTTATGAATGTTTCACAAAACGAATTGGAAAGTAGAATCAAGTACCATTTAGCACAAGCACCATTTAACATTAAAAAAAATGATAAACTTGGCATAAATGCTGCAGCTGCAGACTAAAATTGTCAATTATTGCCATTTATTTTATTTTTAATTTTCTGAAATTAACACATACATTCATTTTTCAGACAAAAAAAAAAAAAATTAAAAAGTATTATTATTTTTTTTTTTTATCAAATCCTGCTCTAAAAATATAATTTGTTATGTTTAAAATTTGTTTTTATTATACAAGTTTGTATGTTTATTAAGCTGTATATTCAATATAATTTTTATTTATTATAATAGATTCTAATAAATAAAGGTGTTTCTATTAATATGTTATTTTAATTCTAAAACTTACCTAATCCTACTTTTAGTATTAATAACATTTCAAGTATTTTATATAGTGGTTAAACAAATCCTATTATATTTTTAAATATTTAATTTTTATATTTATTAAATATTGGAATTTAAATTTAAAAGAAAGTTTATTGTCAACATCAGATAAATATTAGAAATGGGTTCAAAAAATCAACTTTCAATGTTTATTAAATATTTATGAATGAAAAAACAATGTTGATTAAATATTAAATGTTTAATATAAAATGTTAAATAAAAGTTAATTAAATATATATATGTTGTGTGGGTAATATTTAGTCTGACAAAAAAAACAAGACTGAATAATAGTTATCAAATATAAGTTTTTTTTATTTTTTATTGTTATAATAATTTTATAATTTGTTATTGTTATATTATTTTAATAAAATATTTTTGTTAATAATCTATTATGATAAATAAGTCTGACAGGAACGATAAGACTTGATTAGTATTAAAATATAATATAATTTGTGTTATGAAATGTAATTTAAAAAGTTATGATTTATTTGTTAATAAACAATTATTTGTACTAGATAATTGGTTATTTATTTTGGATATCCTGGTTAAATTATTTTTTTGCTTGAGTCATTAGCTCAATAGATAAGTAACACAGTCCATGGGGGGGGTCAGTAACCTTGATATTAGCCCAGCACCCCCTTGGAATCATGAAATCAACCATATTACTTTTCATTTACTAGGCATGGCTTAATAACCTATATCAATGTTACCCAATCTAAGTAAATTGTGAATAACTCAAAAAGTATAAGTCAGAAAAATTTTTTGCGGGTAACATTGATAGTTTGACCATCTAACCATTTGATATAATGTATAAAAATAATGGGTAACAATGTTACCCCAAAATAAGTGGAACATTGATAGGTACATTCAATACTTAAAATGTATGTGATAAAAATAACAAATTTTTTTTCCTTTTTTAGTATATTGTGGGAAAACTTATAATTGAGCTGAATTGATTATGATAGGCAATGTTTATCCCTTTTAACAATAATTTAAAAAAAAAAAAAAACAAACAAAAATTATCAAAGTTGCCCCATTTTACGGTATCTAAAGAAATGTTCGCAAGATATTCATGGAATGTATTAAATTAATTTACTAAATATCCAATAGGAAATAGAAAACTATTCATGTAATATCTATAGTTTTCAAGAAACATTGTTTTTAACACATAAATTATCATCCTAGTAAGTATAAACATATGTATATACTTACCCACATATTAATATAATTATATAAAAAAAAAAATATATTTATAATAACTTTTACATTTTAAAGTGAGAAATAACAATAGATACACATATAATAAAAAAAAGACAAATATAAAAGCTTGTTATTACTTTTATAAACTCAAGTTTAGATATGTAAAAATAACAATAAGTTTACATAGTATAATAATAATGTATAAAAACATGTAATTGCTTTTACATTGAAGAAGGTATACTACATTACATACAAATTTTGAATTATATATTATTCGTGATGATCTGTTTGTGAAGGTTTATTTTGACGTTCTTTAGCTTTTGCTATCCATGTTCCAGCAATAATTTCAATGTCTTTATCAGATTGATCTTTGTATTTCAATTTAACAGCACCTTAAATAAAAATAATTCAATTTTAAAATAAAATGCAAACTATCAAATGCCCAATAAGGCCATTGTATATATTTCAACACTCAAATACAATCTCATAACAATATGAAATAAGGTCTCTATAGTCAAAACATAAAGACGAGTAATTCTACTCAAAAGTGATAAAAAAAAATTATGAAACTTCTATTTATGCTAATCTCAGAATCTAGAATCGTCTCAAAAACTTAACAAATTTAGTAAATTCAACTAAAATTTGCCGTTGTAGTAATTGAATTTATAACTTGGAAAGCATTAATTTAAAATTCTCAGAAAAATGTGTTATGAACTTATAAATTTGAACTTAATAGATCAATTATTACAACAGTGTTAATAAATTACTGTCTATCAAATCAGCTAGTCCTGTAATTGCGAAACTTATTTTTTTTGTCTGTCAAACCAACTAAATTGCTCCGCTACTTCATCAGTTAAAATTATTTTAAGTATGCGCCTTAAAAGTTCACCCAGAGACAATCCACCAATAAGTGATATGTTTTAACCTATAATAATAAACTTTATTATGCTTATATGAAATTTGTACATTTCAATATGATTAAACACTTTATTTAGAATTTCAGTACCTAATATAATATATAATTAATGCATACAAAATTTAATTGTACTTCAATAAAACCTAAATAAGCCTTATACAGTTTAATTTATATTTAAAGGTATTTAAATTAATTAAGTTAGGTTAACCACACTATACACATATTTAGTTACTCAATTTTTAAATATATAATGAATAAACTTAATTTGGATGTTTAACTTACCAACGCATTATATGCATAAATTTTAGTTGATTTAAGAATTTTTACTTCATCATCAAGTTTATTTAAAATGTCTAAAGAAGTTGCTGGGAATCTATAGTATATTGCAATATCTTCTTCTTTATATCTATTAGTGTTGTCATAAGAATTAATTGGTACTGTGTTTATGTTATTGACCATACTTTGAATATTTTCTAAATATTGTAATTGTACTTTCTGGTGCAGACCCATTGTTATAAGTAATCTTGATGTATCAGTCAGCCATTTTTCAAGCACTAATAAAAAAAAACAAATAATTTATATTAAAACAAGATAAGGTTAAGTTAGCAAGTGCATATTAGTGTTTATTCTTGACTCTTGTAGTTGTATCATAATATGACATATTATGTGTAAAATTATTTAAAGTCATATTTAACTAAAAAAGCAAATTTCACAACCACTATAACAGAAAAGTTAGTTTTATTTCAAAGAAAAATGTTTTTTTTTTTAGCTTTACAAGCCATTTAGGCTTTTTGCTGCTGAAACTAAATCTTTCCATTTCCCTCTGTCCTTTGCCATATCCCAGTTTATTTCTCTCGATTGCATAAGTTCCATCATTGTCTCCCGTACACTGTCCATCCATCTTCGACGTGGTCTCCCTCGTGGTCTCGTTCCTTCCATTTCTTCGCTTAAGACTCTTCAATAGTCTCCCATCTGCTCGCCAAACATGCCCCATCCATTCTAGTCTCGTGCTCTTAACGAACTGAACTACGTTTTCTCTTTTAAACAGTGCCCTTAATTCATTGTTTGATCTTATTTTCGATTTTTGTTCTTCCTAACTATATATTGGGCCATGTATTTTCCTTAGTATCTTTCTTTCGAATCTTAGCAGCTTCTCTTCATCACCTTTCGTTGTTGCCCAAGTGGCACATGCATACGAAAGGACTGGTCTCACATAGCTGATATATAGTTTTTCTTTTGTTTTTTTTTTTATATTAATTTTGATCTAAATAGGTTTGCTAGTGCAAAGTAGCATCTGTTTGCCGTGGCCAGTCTTATGTTTATTTCTCCATGCATGTTATTTTGCTTGTCTAATGTCACTCCTATATATTTAAAATCTTTTATCTGCTCTATTTGGCTATTATCTATAGTTATGTCTCTTAGAGTTCCTACTTTTCTAGTCATTGTCATGTACTTTGTTTTTTCCGTGTTAATTCTCAGTCCTATACTTTCCTAAGAAAATTGTTATACACTACAAATGTTGAATTCCTGCATAACATAAGTGTACTAAAAATATACAAAAAAAAAATGATACTTCGAAGTAACGATTGTTGCATGTAATTTTGCTGATTCAATAAAGAATTATTTAATTTTCAAATTCTGTAAAACATTAGTACATTAATTATAATTACTAAAATATGTATAAATGCATAATAGCTAGTATAGAATTATTTTAACTTTGGAAAAAAGTGAAATTTATTGTAGATCATAATGTCATCATAAATTTATTATTTAGTGTTCAATAAGTTTAAAATCGAGCAGTTTTTCTGTCTAATAATAATTTTTGACTTTATGGACTCTAAGATGAGTATTAGACATTAGTGTATCTTAACTTTTCAAAATAAACCCTTTCTTATTTTAAGAGTAAAAGGTATCAAATTTTGATTTTAAAATGGTAAAAGCCAATTATAGAAACATTAAGTAATAAGAAATAAAAGTATTTATAATTTAAATATTTTTAAAAAAATCCATTTAAAAATCAGAAAAATACGATTTAAGAGGTATTTTTAATTGGAAACACTAAAGACACATGAGTGTTAACAATATAATTGAATCAATTATAAACTGCAATACCAGATAAGCTGTTCCTTATAATAATATTGTAAAATTAATAATTTTTTTTAAATAAAATAAAACTAAAATGTATTGATGATAAATTTACTGAATTAAATAATAAAAATTATATATATATATCATATAATGTTTAAATCATTATGTTTTAATAATAATTTTATTACTTGAATCAATGTACTTTTGAAGTTCTTCCATTGTATCAATTATTCTTTGATTACCAACATTTAAATTATCATCTGACAAACTAACATCAAAAATTTTACTAAATATATTTACATCTACTACATTTTGTTCGCTTAATACAGATAAATTATCTAAGTCTTTGTCAAGTATGCAGTTATTATTATTTGAGAAATTACCTAAAATAGTAAATATAATTATTAGTAAATTATTATTACTTGGTTTTAAAAAAAATATAATTTGAAATACCAAATTGAGAAAATGTTGGAAATGATGATAATCTAATTTTTTTATTTTCACATTCTTCTGAGCTATCATTGGAACTAACTTCATCATCAAACTTAACATTTGGTTTTCTGATT